TGCTCGCTACACCCTGCAACCGGCACCGCACAGTGGGCCAGACGACCGGTGGAGGCGGCCAAAATTCGAGACTCGTTTTGAGCTCTAGAGCCGCTGAATGGGGCTCGAACCGAACGTGTGACCCCACCAATGGATTCCTCGTTCGAAGAGCAATCCATTGGTGGGGTCACACGTTCGGTTCGAGTCCCATTCAGCGACTCTGGAGCTCAAGACGCGTCTAGAGTTTTGGCCTTTGACCGGTCTTCTGGCCCACTGTGCGGCGGACTCACTCTGTCTCCTCCACTCAGGACTCGGGCCCAGGAAGCCGTCCAATGATATGGACCGGTTAAATCCCGGGCTGATAGCGTCGGCCGGCGGAGGCCTGGACGGCCTGGACCCGAAGCCCACCAGGCAGTGGCGTGGCTGCAACACTTGGCACGGCATGCCGCTGCATGCGATGCATGCGATGCACCGAGTGAGGTTAGGTCGTCCGGCTTGGCCAGGCTTGGCCACGCTTGGCTTTCACTGCCGGCACCAGGAAGCGCACTGGCCGCGCCAAACCCTTTCACTAGCACGGCGTTTCATTTTAATTTGCCATGGTTCCGCGCAACGCGCAGCTCGCCGACGACGCCGCGCCACCTGTCGCGACGCCGCGCGCCGCCACTCTCGGTTACGGCGAAGCTCCCTTCAGTGCAGCGGCGCTCTGTCTCCCTCGCACCGCCGTCAGCGAGGCCGCACAGTGGGCCAGAAGACAGCTGGACGCGTTTCGAGCTCCAGAGTCGCTAAACAACTCGAGCCGAACAATGGATTGCTCCACGGACGAGGAGCCCATTGGTGGGGTCACACGTTCGGTTCGAGTCCAGTTTAGCGACTCCGGAGCTCAAAACGCGTCTGGAGTTTTGGCCGCCTGCGCCCGTCTTCTGGTCCACTGTGCGCCGTTCCGGCCGAGGCAGCCCGATGGCAGGGAGTGCACGGAGTAGAGGGGGGAGGGATGCAAAGCTGTGCATTATTTGGCGCGCATCCTGAGAGATTACCGGACGAGCCGTCCCGGCTGGAACGCCTGGAACGACGCTACACACGCCAGAGTGTCTTGGCACGCCGGCGCGCCGCTCGCCGGCCGAGTCGCGCAGCGCGCAGCCCGGGGAGGAGACTCATGCATTGGCAATGGCCGGGCCGGGCCGGCAGGGCAGGGCAGGGCAGGGCAGGGCGCGCCCAGGGCGGGGCGGCGGCTGCGGTGCCCACGACGACGCACGCCGTTTTGTCCGCACCATTCGCGTCATGAAAAATTCAGGCCGCAACGGTTTATTCACCGCCCTCAAGCGTCCCGGAGCAGGCGGGAGCAGGCGGGAGCAGGCGGGAGTCGCAGCACTGCCACAGGCGACTGAAGGTGCGCAAGCCAGACCGGCCGCCGCCTGCGAGGCAGGCAAAGGCAGTCCCGTCACGCAGGGCTGTGCGGCGGGACTGCCTACCCGCAAGGCGGTAGCGCGCCTGGGAGCTAGGCTGTCCCGTTACACAGGGCTGTGTGGCGGGACTGCCTACCCGCAAGGCGGTAGCGCGCCTGGGAGCTAGGCTGTCCCGTTACACAGGGCTGTGCGGCGGGACTGCCTACCTCCAAGGCGCGCTACCGCCTCGTGGGTAGGCAGTCCCGTCACACACGGCTGTGCAACGGGACAGCCTAGCTCCCAGGCGCGCTACCGCCAGAAACCCTGAATGAAACCCGCTGAAACCCGAAGACAGGGTGCTTCTTCAGGGTACAGTGCGCGGTGCGCGACAGCCACTTGACCCTGGCTGCGCGTGCCCCGCCGCGCCCCTTGGCCCGATAAGGGCGCAGTGCAGAGTGCAGAGTGAGACGTGTGGCAGTGCGGCGACGGGGAGGGCGGCAGGCGCAGGCGGGGAAAGGCCCCTACCCCCACCGCCGGCGATGCCGCCGAGCACGTGGGCGCCGTGTTTTGGGGCAGCGGGGCGGGCCCGCGGGGGCGGCGGCGGGGGGCGGCGGCAGGGGGCGGCAGCGGGGGCGGCAGCGGGGCGGCAGCGGCGGGAAGGTCGATATCATCTGGTGAGCTAGCCCGCCCAGGGCTGTCTTGCTGTCTCTCCCTTCGCTTTGTCTCCTCGCTTCCTCGCTGCAGCCCTCAGCGCCCTCCACGGCAGTAATCGCGTGTGTTCACATCAAAGCACCACTCGAGCTCCAGTGGCATAGTTCCAGCCGCGCGAGCCGCGGCCGGCACGACAGGGGGCGGCCGTCAACGGGCAGCGTCATGTTTCCCGACGCCATTTTTTGCAGTGTCCTGCTGGCAGGGTCGTGATTTACGCGCCGTCCCGGAACGGACCGGAACGGAACGGGGTCAAAGGCTCCCACTTAATGGGGGCGAGCCGGAGCAAATTTCGGGGGACATGTGGGGGCGGGGCGGCGTGGCGGGGGACTGCCAGAGGCTGCCGAAGAGGAGGCAATTTACGTGCCCCGTGATTCATGGCGTTCATCGCCACCCTGGGCAGCCGGTGAAGGCCTGGCTCCGCCCGCCGGGGTGGCGGGGGCACTTCGGACAGCGCGCTGCGGCGGGCCAAGGGGCGCCGCCGAATTGAGATGTTATCGCGCGATAGGGGGTGCTCTGCTCGCTCTGCTGCTGCGGGCTTAACCGCCGCCGCCACCACCGCCCAGCCCCAAAGGCCCGAACGGCCGCTCATCCCCTTCATCCTTTGTAATTAAAATTAGTTTTTTATCTATCGTTGGCGTTGCCCCTTGGCCGCGTCTGGCGCAGTGGGTATCCCGGTGCCGGGTGCAAATTGAGTGAGGCGCGGCTCGGCGCCGTTGGCGATATCACTTAAACGGGTTCGGGCTTCCAATTTCCCTCCGGCCGGCAGGGCGGCAGGGCGACAGGGTGCTCGGGGTGCGCCCCCTAGACCAGACCGACGACCCTCGTCCTCGTCCGACCCCCACCCCACCCCACCCTCGGCGTCGTGTCGCTCGCTGGGGTTCGCTCAGGTGTAGGGCCTAGGGCGGCCTAGGGGTGGGTGCAGATGCACGCCTGAGTTGCTCGCTTCGCTCTGTGCCCCGCTGCGCCCCACCACGGCCACAGCGCACGTACGCTACCTGTCCGCCGCGCCGCCGCGCTGCGGCTCGTCAAGTAAAGCGAGTCCATTCAGTCCGACGCCGGACGGACGGGCGGACACCCTAGCTGCGCCGTGGCCGCGTGGGGCCCCGTCGTGTCGCATCGACTTATTCAATTATAACTAGAGTCGCCGCTCGGCTGGCCGATTCCGAGCCGCGCTTCGTTCCCGCGTCTCCCTCGCACTCTCGGGGCGGACCGCGGGGGTGCGAGGGAGGCGACGAGGGTCGCGGACTGGAGGCCGTGCTGGGCGACCGCGTGCAAGTTAGTCGACTTCCTAATTGCCTGACACTGCAGGGCTCGGCCAGACTGCACTTCTCCAGCATCAAAGGGTCCTCCGCCTCCTCGGCCTGGCCTGGCCGTCAGTGGCCCAAGTCCGGCAAAATGAGGCCGACCAGGCGAACCTCCACTTGAATCCTTCCGACAAGTTCGTTAAAATTTCTAATTGCTTCTGCGGCCTGTCGGCTGCTCGCCGGCAGCCAGCCGGCAAGGGTCGCGGCCTAGGCGCCGGGCGGGGCCTGGCGGGCCGGCTCCTCGTTTGGACGTGATGCTGCTCGCTGAACGCCGGCCGCGCCGGGCCTCGTCCGTGGGTGCAGCACGCCGGCCAGCACGGCCAGCACGCGGCGGGGGGACGGGACGGGAGGAGGCGAGGGCGGACGGCGGACGGTCCAAGTTGCCGGGGCCTAAACACAGATTGTTTACTCCGCAGCGTGGCGGAGCGTGGCGGCTGCGGGCCTGGCGAGGAGGCTCTGCGATGCTCGATGCTCTGCCTCTGCGACGGGCCGGGCCCAGGCCGGGCCCATGCCGGGGCCGTCGAGACCACTGGTCCTCCGCGCCCAGCAGCCCCAGCAGCGCCCCGAGAGAGGGGGTGACAAGGACCCCCCAACACTCTCACACAGACGCGCGCGCTCACACACACACAATTTCGAGTCCGCTGCTCGGGGGGCTGGGCCAAGAGCGGCCAGCCGAACAGGGGGGAGCTGAGTTGACTAAACTAACCAGCAGCGGCTGAGGCGGCGCCGACTGAAGAGAGGTATCCAAATTTTGTGCACTGCACTGGCACCACTGCACGCAATCTCACAAACGCACTCACGCGCGCACGCGGGCAGGCGCGCGCGGCCTCCCAAAGGGTTAGCAGAGCGGCGCGGCGCCGCCAGGCTACGCCAGGCCAAGCAGCCACTCGGCGAGCGGCGCGGAACGACGCGGCGCGACGCGACGCAACGCGACCGTACCCTCGGCGCCACGGTCAGAGCCGCACTGAGGAGGCGCGGCGCGGCGGCGCGGTGCGGCGAGGCACCACGAGATGGGAGGCGGCGCGGCGGCGGCGCGTAGCAGGGACGGCGGGGGGCGTGGCCGGGCCGGGCCCTGCTGGGGGCTAGGGGCTGGGGGCGGACGGGGAGGCGGCGCAGGGGGAGGGGGCGGCGCCCGCACGGCCTCATGGCGCGGCCGGGCCGGACTTGCCGCCGCACAGCCGCACACAGCACCGCAGCACTCAGCGGGTCTTGGTGCGTGGGCCTACACCTACCTCGTAGCCTCGTGGGCCTGCCGAGGGGGCGGCGCCGCGGCGCCGGGCCGGCAGCACTGGCAGCAGCAGCAGCGTACTGCTGGTACTGCATCGTACAGCAGCCGGCTGCGGGTGGACCTGCCCGGGTTCCGATCCCCGTGGGAGCGTCACGGCTGAAAAGACGAACGGGTTGGGGTGCAGGCGGGGCATAAATGTTTCAGGCAGTGCAGGGGTGGAGGGTGGACGAGAGAGGCGGTAAATACCGTAAATGCTACCCCCTCCCTCTAAGCCTTGAGTTCAGACTCAGGCAAGTCTTGCAAGATCACAAGCGCACACAAACCAGTGCCATCTGATTTCAACGGTAGAGTGAGATGACCCGACAAAGGGGAATTTGGAGATGCCAAACAATACTGTAAGCTTATACACCATATAAAATTTAATAAACATCTTACAAAATAATGTTAATAGCAAAGTACCTTAAATCCTTTTAAAAGAAGGAAGATTTCTCAGGAATGTATCCAGTTTACTTTTTAAAGATATGACTTCATTCAGATGCTTTTCTGACATTTTAGATGATATTGTTATGTTGCTCACTTCTTGTTGCTGTAAAGATTTAAAAACGGTTATAATATAATATATATTCCCTAAAAATGAGATATCTAAATCTAAAACGTGAAACAACACTACTCACCAATTTCATGACTAGATTGTCCCAATCAACTTCGAAAGCCATAGGTTGCCATCCTCGTTGCTGGATTATCCAAAGACAGTCTTCTACAGTTTGAATTGCTTTACTGGAGAGTCAAAAACATAAAGTTATGATGAAATTTGCATATTGCTGCAATTTTGTAAGTCTGGTATTAAAGTTGTGACTAGCACCTGTGCAAGTGGTGAGGCAGAGGCAGAGCATCTTCAGCCATGGGGTCCTTCAACGCTTGCTGTATAGTAAGACTAGAAGAGTGCAAGAACTCTAAACATGTCGCAACCTGATTCCATAGCTCCAATCCATCATCTGCGGAAAAAATACATATTAGATTCCAAATGGAAGAGGAGGCAGCAACATGTCTTCAACAAAACAATACTCACACACAACAGTCTGAACTTTATCAAATCCTTTGATAAAACGTTTAAGATGCAGCTCATTCTCAAGAGTTACAATTTCCTGCTTTCTATCACTGATTTCCTTCAGTGCACGGAACGTTGGAAGACTCAATAATGAGGAGGGAACTGAGTCCTGAGGGTGCGAGAATTCAGGAATTAAAATCACAGACTTGATCACTCCATTTTCTGAATGAAATTTAAAACAGATCAACAGGTGTTCTCGACAATTAAAACGAATCATAAAAAGACTAACCTCTGAATCCTCCATGTCTGATCCATTCGTTTCATGATTGGCGTTTGAATCACCATCACGAATAAACAGGTGAGCTAAATTATTACGCATTCGATTCCAAGAATCAACGTCCATGTTTTCTCAATTGTTGGCTTCGCAACCAAACAGTAAAAAAATAAAAACTGCACGCAGCACGCACGGTCGGTGAAACGATTTTTGACAACAACAAAATTTGAACTGGAGAGAAAAACCGGGAGCTTCAAAAGTGCCAACACTAGAAACCTAAACATACATATTCGGACGTGAAGATTTCCTGGGGCTGATTTCCCCTTCGCATAGATTGAATTTCTGGACAAAAAAAATATAAATTAGCAAACAATAAAATAAAGGTCCATGGCCGAAAATATTTTTAGTCGTAAGCCCATTGGGAAATTCACAACGTTACGTTGCAGCGTTGCAGCCTACTACTATTTACAGAAAACAGGAAGTGGGGGAGAGAAGAGAGAGGGGGAAGAGAGTGGGGCTGTCAAAAAGAACTTTAAGCACCATATTACTCATTTACCTAGTAAAACCCTTGTTAAGTGAGGTCTTCGGTGAACGGATAGGTTTTTTTTGGAATTGAAGCTTATTACGTATTGAACAGTAGCTTAGATCAAGAGTGATGCTAATTTACATCCTCTTGCTATACCCAATATCGTCTGCCATTGTAAGGTTATATGCTTTGTTTACATGTTATATATAAATCCAGAAAATGTATATTTACTTTTTTCGCATTTAGTTAAATCTGTCGTCGTAATTTTTTTGGCTGTTTCTTCGTTTTCTCTATCAGGTAATGGCTCACTGACAACCTTAAAATTGCGACAGATCTGCATATTTTTAACACCCCTCTCTAGAAAGTGGAACATGGAACCTGTGGATTCTAGAGTCCCTACGACTTATCGGTATGAAGAGGAACGAAATAGCTGGACTGATGACTACATTAACTTGGGACAGCTGTGCAGGATCTGTGGAGCCCCCAGTGATTTTCTGATGCCTATATTTGATGGTGAAAGCCACGATCGTCTTGACCTCAAGATTCACATGCATCTTCCCATACAGGTTTGCTAATTGGTTTAAATTTTTTTGAGGATCTGCCAAATTGTAAGTATAAGCATTATTATAATTCGAACAAAATATTACCAGGTTGATAGGAATGATATTTTGCCGGTGCAATCCTGTTTCAACTGTGTCACAACAATTCAGTCATGGCACAACCTATTTCTGGCATGCCAAGAGGCAGATCTCAAATTTCAGACCATGCTTGGCACTAAAAATCAGGTTGAGTAATTCATAAAATTATGTACCATTCTCATCAAATGGTTGCAACTAGCAGTTAAGACATTCTCCTCTGACTGTTTTGTGATTTTTCAGGTACCAAACAGGCACAGCTCAGTCCTCATCTCACCAAACTCTGCTCACGCACATTCCTTACCCAGCCATCATGCTACTTTGACTTTCCCAAAAATTTCACAAAACCCACCGTACTTGGAGGTCACTACTACTATACCTCATGCTCATTTAGATCAATCAACTTCAACTTCGTGCATTCAGGAACTGCAGCCATCAACAGAACTGTTGAATGGGATGCGTCACTACTCTTTGCCTCAAGAGGAGACATTTGAACAAACATTTAATAGTTCGATCAGTTCAGGCTTAGCATCTAGTGTTCCAACAGAATTCACCAATAATGTGATTTCTCACATTGTACATGAGAAATTTTCATCTTCCCCCATACATACACACAGTGAACAGCATGTTGCGCATGTGAGCACACAGACAGAGAATGATGGTGATGACAAGTCCTCCCAGGATGAGACAAAGTTCAACAGCAAGAAGAGTGTCATTGTAAGTGCTATTGCAATAATAAGACATATTTTAATAATTAAAATTCTAAATGCCTTGTTAAATCTCTTATAGGGTAAAAAGATATTCAGACAAGGTTCTACTCTCAAAGGAAAGAAAGATGCATCATTTGACATGGATTCAGGAAGGCCTCCGCCTTTACCAGCTGAGAGAGAAAACTCCATCTCAGAAGCTCCACACCGAGTGTAAGTCCTTGAAATTGCATTTTATCCATGGAAAAAATTGCACTATATATGTATTCCTGGCATGACAATGACAATTTGGTTTATTTTTAGATCTGCCATTCAATCAGTTGGTAGCAGAAATGACACCACATACCAAGAAACAAATTGCACCAGGTTAAAAAGTGTGTTAGTAAGGAATGAATCCGTACGGCCATCTGTATTATCATCAGACAACACAGATAGGCCTCATTTAGTAAATTCTAAAATAGAAATTGTAGAATCTGGAGTTATTAGAGAACATCGACATTCAGAAGTATTAAAAGAACCTAGTAAAAGCACTATGGTATCAGTCCTTCGTCCAACATGTCTCAGAAGAGCTCCAACTAAAATTGGTGTTATTGAAACTACCTTCAAAGAGCCTGAGATTCAAGTAGGTGTCAAGGATATTAATCAATGTGCAGCAACATCATATCCAATGGAAGAAAGGGACTACTATGATTCAGCACCTTGTCATGGAGATGATTTTGAAGGTAATGACATGCCCCTAGTTGTAAACTAATTTATTGTAGGGTATGGGATTTTATTCAAATTCATTTATTTGTCAGATGTGCATCCTGAGTTTCTGGATCCACCATCTTTGAGCACTCTGGAAGAACAAAACAAAATTGGAGATCCATCTCAAGTTTGTTTTCACTGCAAGAAGTTCATTGCCAATCCAATTTTGCTGCTTTCTCATGAAAAATCTCATATGTCTGATTCAAATCCGCCGACAACATTCATTTGCAAATTTTGTTCAATACCTGAAGTTTCAATCAGCAGCCTACATTCGCATTACGCTTCACATGAAACTGAAGTTGAGAGACTGCAAAGAAATCAGAGTAATAGAAAAGTAAGTGCTCAATTGACATTTAAAAAAATTAAAATAGATGCCAAAAATATGAAATTCTTTGATTGTGTCTTGCTTTACATTTAAAATTTGTACCAGGCCCATCTTTGTAAGCAATGTGGGATTATGTGCACTACAGAAGAACGTTTATCTATGCATCAACGATTGCATGCAGAAGGAGTAGAGCCTTTCAGGCATGAATGTAAAACTTGTGGACAGCAGTTCAATACTAGAAGCAAGTTGAGTGTGCACCTTTGGAGTCATGCATTAAAGCCATCATTAAAAACTTTTAAGTAAGTGAACTTCCTCTTTATCTTCCATTCACAATTTAAAATCAATAAAGTTGTGTACATTGTATCGTTTCAGGTGTCACATTTGTGGCAAAGGCTTTGTGACAAAATCTGCAGTTATGGAGCACCGCTTAAAACATACAGACGAGGAGAGATCTCGAGCTTTTAAATGTGTGATTTGTGGTATGGCATTTGGAAATAATACTCTCTTAGGGAAGCATCGGTCAACTCATTCTGAGGAAGAACTGGCAAGGCCTTTCCAATGCACCTTTTGTGGTAAATCATTTGCCAGGTCAGCCATAAGTGGAATTATATTTTCATAATCTACTTTTTGTTCTTGGTTTTACTTCTAATGTATCATTCTCCTTTTTCCTAACAGAAACCACACCCTCCAAATTCATCACCTGTCTCATACTAATGTGAAAAGTCATGTGTGCAATCAATGTGGAAAATGTTTCAAAATGAGAAACTCATTGATTCAGCATATGAGAACTCATCAAGATCCAAGTTGTCTGCCAACATACCCTTGTCAATTATGTGGTAAAATTTTTAAAATCAAGTCAAGACTTCGAGATCATCTCAGACTTCACAATGGCGACAAACCTTACAAGTGCAGTACTTGTGGAAAATGTTTCCACAAGGTACACCAGAATGATTTTCCTTGGTTGCTACTCATGCATTGAACTTCATACAATTATGTATTTTTTTTACATGTTTCTTTTCAGATAACTGCTTTGCACACTCATGAAGTGAGTCATACTGAAAGAAGACCATATATGTGTGATATTTGCGGCAAGGCATTTAAGTGGAGTAAGAATCTCCGCCAGCATACTTTTGTGCACATTAGTACAGGCAAATCTTCAGAGAAAACTCCTTGTTCTTCAGAGAAAACTCCTTGCTCTTCAGAGAAAACTCCTTGTTCTTCAGAGAATACAGTTAAGTTGAAGCCAAGCCAGCAACCTTGCCAATGTGAAATATGTGGAAAACAGCTGTCCACTAAAAGTAGTTTGCGACAGCACATGGCTAACATTCACAGTGATGGAGAAGGCAAACAAATTAAGTCAACAATTTGTTCCATTTGCGGGAAAGTGCTGTCTAATGCAGGGGTAAGAACAAACATTTTCCAAATTTTAACTTTTGTTGTAGGTTTTAATTTTGAGTAACATACCTGCATTTGAATTTATACTGTAGGGTCTTTTAAGACACATGAAAATAACTCATGGAGGTGTGAAGGCTTTCAAATGTGACATTTGCGACAAAGAATATTCCACAAAGGTTGCTCGTGATGACCATAGGCGGTCACACACAGGAGAGCGTCCTTATACATGCAGCATTTGCAACAAATCATTTACATCCCTTTCGAATCTTCATATTCATCGATTGATTCATAGTGAAGACCGCCCCCACAAGTAAGTACATTAGTATTCTTGTTTTTTGTTTAAATTTGAAAGTATTTAATTAAACCACTTAATTCCCCAAATTATTTTTTCCTGCAGATGTACCTATTGTGATAAGCAGTTTAAACGACGCGCACATCTTGTACCACATCTTCGCACTCACACTGGAGAAAAACCATATGTATGCAACATTTGTTCTCGGGGCTTTGCACAAAGCAATGATCTGCACAAACATCGTCTAACACATTCAAATGACAAGGCATATGCATGTCACTGTGGTGTGGCCTTCCGGGTTAAACGGGATCTAACTCGGCATCAAGCTAAGCATCATCCAGCCGGTTCATTGCAATCTGCTCCATCACAAAATGCACTACTTTCTTCTGGCGCCATCTCGGAAACACATGCACCCAGAGAACAACTTATTTTACTTACAGGGCAGCATTCTTCAGTGGCCTCAGTGTCAACTGTGCCAGAGTATAATGTGCCTGTTGAAACATATGGCAACTTTGTTGCTACTCCCTCAGTGGTTGTACTGAACACTGGAGTACTAGCATCTAGAAATTAATATTGAAAAGTTGACTGACAAAATCTGTGATTTGTGAACTTTGTGATATTGCATGGTAAAACATAATAATAAACACTTGAGACCAATATAGTAGAAACATGAATTCATTTTATTAACAACCCACCCTACAAAGAAAAAAGAAAAGTAAATGGGTATACACTACATACAGTTTTTGCAGCATCCCTACACCTAAATTTTAAAGAACTGAATTTTCAATGGTTGAGAATGAGCTTGAAATGACAAATAAACAAACCAAAGGAGTTTAAGCTAGAACTATAACTTTCCTACCAGTTCTGCTGAGAACATGAGGGAATTACAGACAAAGTGGTCCCACTCCCACTGGCAAATGAAGTTAATTGAGGGTCTGTTGAATTACTTGCTGACTGAATTGTGAGAATCTGGGAATCTGGAACAACACCTTGGAGCAGAGGATCAATTTCCAGTATTTGAGCGTGCCTTAAATCTTCAATCTGGTGAACAACTACATCACTTCCTTCCAGGATTGTGATTGGAAAATTGATCATATTATCAGAGATCACAAGAGCCTGTAAAAATTAATTGAGAATAAATTCAGTAAATTTTCAAACACAGAAAATGACCTTAGCAGTTATAAAGGCAGACTGTTAAAATATTTACCTGAGATTGGGATGGAAGTTTTGGTTCACTATTTGTAGTTTTCACAGCTCTAGATATTACGTGGTGCGTTCGTCTATGTTTATTTAATTCTTTGCGAGTGTAGAAAGGCCAATGACATTCACCACATACAAAATTTTGATTGGTTGTGTGAGTCTGTTGGTGTTTTAGCATGTCATTCTTTTGGGTAAACCTGCGACCACAAATGTCACAGCAGAAGGGTTTTTCCCCAGTGTGAGTGCGCATATGCACTAGTAAAATACCATTTCTCTTGAAGCGTTTGGGGCATTGATCACAGGCCCAAGGACGATCATCATTGTGAGTCTGTGAAAAATGAATGTGCATTAGACAAGGGTGATAAAGAACTGAAGCAAGTACATTGTACCAGACTATATTTCCTTACCCCCAAATGTTGAGCTAAATTGCTAGAGCAGCGGAAGCTCATGTTGCACTCCCGACAAGTATAAGGCTTCTCTCCAGTGTGGAGCCGTTCATGAACGGTACAAGCCTCACGGGATAGAAATGACATAGAGCAAAATTGACATGAGAATGGGCGCTCCTGAGTATGAAAAGAGCGAATGTGATATTCTAAAGTCCTGCGGTTTGATAATTGCTTGTTGCAAAGCTAGGAAAAGAAGGAAAAGAATCAATCAATCATTCAGTTTCATTAGAAATCTTCGACCATTTTGTAATTTAACTTACTTCACATTCGAAGCTAATATTTGAATGTGTTTTTGTATGCTCCTCTAGGCCCTTGGAGGTTGAAAATATTTTGGGGCACTGACTGCACGTTAACTGTTTCTTCTCCTCAGAGTTATCTTTGATTTCTTGAACTGTGTGCTCGCGACGGTGTTGCACCACCTCACTTAAAGTTTCAAATGACTGTTTACAAACCTATCAAAGTTAAAAACAAATATATTAGGGAAGGTAATAGATTAGAATATTCATAAAACAGAAAGTATTAATACCTTGCAAGAAAATTTTCGCTCATTTGAGTGGCGCTTCATATGTTGTGTCATGTTACCCCTGCGATTAAAGCCTGCTCCACATTGGGGGCATTCGAATGTACTACCGCTATTGTGCACGGTTTTGTGCTGTCTTAACTGTATTCGACGGTGGAACTTTTTATCACAGACTGTACAAGAATATGGAGTAATATTTAAATGTACATTTCTATGCTCATTTAAATGAAACCTGGAAATCAATGAGATTAGAAAGAAAAATAAGAAGATAAAGAACTAAAAGTGGAGATTAGGTCAGAAAACCACAAATGAAATCACAATTGGGGCACTGACAGAAGTACTTACTTAGAAGGGAACAATTTGGGGCAGATATCACAGGCATGGCGATGTGTTTCATTGCCATGAGATCTTTTGTGGCATCGCAAATTTGCTCTATGCTTGAAACTTTTCCCACAAATATCACATAGGTAAGGAGTTTCATTTGAATGAGTTGCTCGATGTATATTAAGGCCTGATAATTATCAAGAAGTTACTTTATGCAAATCTGTGGTTAGCTGCTCAAACATTTATTTCTTTTATTTCTGTATTAATAATAAACTTACCACTTGCATTACCATAGCATCTACCACATATGTCACATTCATATTTACGATCTGGTTTCAGATTATGGACATCTTTTAAATGTCTCTGTAATTCTTTCACACTAAAAAATTCTTCACCACACTTAGTACATTTTTCACCACTGTCTCTCTCCTGCATTGGTAACTTGGTATGAGACAGAACATGCCTCTTCCATTTTACTTCAGTCTGAAAGTTTTTATCACAAAATTCACATGAAAACAACTTTTCTTCTGATGGATGCTTGTGCTTTACTTCACTTGAGCATTCATTGTGTTGGGCTTCAATGTGTAGCTTTAGTGAGGACTGACTCAAAGCTACAAAGCCACAATCATTACAATGCCACTCCCTAAAAAAAAATATATTATGATGGAAATTTTATGGTACAACATGGCTACAATGATTTGAAACCATCAAGATATTGGCTGGACATTTGAAACAGTACCTTTTTTCACGATTTGTGTTTGGCAACTGAGGAGAATCAATCATACTCTGATCATCAACATCAACTACAGCCTCAAAAGGCTCTTCCATTTGTTCTTCTTTCGGAGGACCCATTTCAAAACTTTGTGATGCTTCAGAATTTCCTTGAGATATTATTTTAATATTTTTGCTCAAGACTAAACTTTCTTGGATCATTTCAATGCTTTGGGGTATATCAGTATCTCTCTGTGGCATTATTTCCACATTCGATATTTCTGCATTTTCTTGTGGTACAATTTCAGTGCTTGTTTGTTCTGTTCCCTGTACTACCATCTCTTCACTTGAAACTATTCCATCAGGGTTTTTGTCACCCATTTCATTGGGGATGTTTTCTTTCTTGACATGCTGAGTCTGCAAATTTTAACCCAAAATTTGAAGAAAGCAATAAAAAGATGTGTATGACCTTAAAAAATACCTTTTGTTCATAATATTGCCCCTGAGAGCAACCTTACTCACCCAACTGTTGTTCATAGCTTGAAGTTTAGCATTTCCTACAATACTCAGTTTGAACAGATCATCAGCTATATCAAGTTTTGAGACACACTCATCACAAACATGCTGTGGAAAGCCATCATTGACTGAAACCTTGAAGAGTTGAAGCATAAATTCATATTAGATTTTATAGCCCTCAAAGGTTTAATTTTAATACTCAACACAAAAACAGCCGAAGCACCTTTATAGGAAGACAGCGATGAATTTTCTCGATAATTTCCAAAGTCAACCCCTGGTTATGGAACAGTGGAAGGCCCTCCAGTATTTCATTTGCACATATTCTACAAATGCCAAAATATTTCTGATTCTCTAAAATCTTTTCCTGTATTGTCTCAGTGCGCAAACCATCTTGAACAGGACTGCTTAGCACAGGCTCAGAAGCCAGAAGCAATATTTGAGACTGCTGAGGTGCAGTTTGACTTGTTTCAATGAGATTCGAATTTGATTGAGACACAAGCACTGTCTGATAAGAGCCATCCTCACATACAGTTGGTATGAAGTCTGATAAATTAATAACTTTTAATGACGAGCCCTCTGCAATATTTGAGTTGCCATAGTTTTGCATTTCAAAGGCGACAATAGAACAGCTATCATTTTTTAAGTCCCTGCTAAAAATTGTTGGCTCCTGGGACAAACTTGGGCCACCCTTCATGATGGGTTTATGAGTTACGCCAACCACTGCATTAGACTCGGTGATATCGTTCTCCATAATCAACGATTGAAGTGAATCCTTGGGCTCCATAGTCGGATATCCTGAAAAAAGTGATAAAGTTTAAAGGTAAGTCTGGCTTCTGTTTCAGATGATGACATCATTGAAGAAATTTATTGTTTACATTTTAGTGAAACCATCCCATACATCTCGTTAACCTAACTCCAGAAGTATCTCCTGGAATCAAAACATACCTAGTCCTTGATTTACAATATCTAATGTTTTTCATGACTTCTAAATCGAATGTCAAGCTGAATTACAGTATTACTTCCCGCCCCCCTCAAATCTACATTACGTAAATAAGAGGGAGTTTTGTAAGTTTCAACAACAAACAACACTGTCAAACGCCTTTGACACATCGAAGAAGTTCGATTTTCATTTCGATAGTCTCTCTCGAATCTCAAAATGGCGCAGGATCGATCTTGGCGACCGCACGGCAACACATGTCGGTTCGCTTGTGACGTTTTCCAGGATTTTGAACGTTAAGACGGACATTTAACTACTCCTTAGATTGGTTTATGATTCATTAATCTTCAGAGGGCTTCATTTTCTACATTTCATCATGGTGAGCTATCCACTTAATTAAGCCTTTTAAATTTTTATTCCCACTTTTCTTTGCGTCGGCTGTTTTTAGGTTAGTAAGTTATGTTATTTCGATTGATAAATAAATTTAAGTGATGCTCATTTTAACTCAAGCTTTAGTTTTGTATTTTGAATGCCTCCTTCGAAACCATGCAATTCGTTCTGAACAGAGGACGATGAACCAGTTTCTTTGCAGCCGTTTTGGGGTTAAGTCACCTACTGGGTCCATCTGTGATCTTGACTGCGAAATCTCATATTAGTTTATGGTTTTTCTGTCTCTAATTCGATGGAAAGCCTTATTTTCAACCATCTTCTCGTTCTGTTTAATATTGAGTTTTTGTTTAAGAGACCACCAGTGCTCTCAGTGCAGAGTTATTTAATGTTTGATTACTGTAAATGAATTGTGAAATGTATATTTTCCTAATGTCTCTGTCATTCATTTCCAGAAACCTTTGATGCTTCAAGGCCACGAGAGGGCCATCACACAAATCAAGTATAACCGCGAAGGAGATCTTCTTTTCTCATCTGCCAAGGATAATGCCCCTAATGTATGGTTTGCTCTCAATGGAGAGCGCTTGGGCTCATACATGGGACATCAAGGTGTCGTCTGGTGCTTTGATGTCAATTGGGAAACAACTAGGTTTTTGACTGGAGCTGGTGACAATTCTCTTCGACTGTGGGATGTTAGCAATGGTATTAGATGTTTTCCAATTGAATTTTTTAAATGTAATTTGTGGTGACAAGGTGGAAACAATATAATTGTTGGTTTCTTTCAGGCAAAGAGATTGGTAAAGTGGAGACCGGTACTTCTGTTCGAACATGTATGTTCAGCTACTCTTCCAACACAGCCGTCTTTTCCACTGATAAACGAATGAACACTAATTGTGAAATTCACATAATTGATGTTAGAAACGCTGATGCATCACTTGGTAAGTTTTTCATTAGATTAATTGCTAATAATTTAGCTATGTGAAATTAAATACTTCATTTCGATTGCAATGCTATTAATTTACTTATTGTTTGCAGTAAATCAAGACCCAATCATGAGGATACCTGTTGATGGATCTAAAGTTACCTCTATTTTGTGGGGGCCTTTAGATGAAACTGTAATCTCAGGTCATGAAGATGGAAAGATCACCATGTGGGACCTCAAGGTTTGTGGTCTTTTTAAAATCTTTTTTAAACATGTCAAATTTTCAACCATGGCTCCATGACTAACATTTGGTTGTTTATTTCAGATGGGAAAAGAAGTGCACTCTGTTCATGACCATGCTGCCTCCATCAATGACTTACAGTTCAACAAAGATGGTACTCACTTTGTGTCAGCTTCGAAGGACTGTACCGCCAAACTGTTTGACACTGATACTTTGGAGTGTTTGAAAACCTACAAAACTGAACGACCTGTTAACAGTGCAGCTCTTTCACCCATCATGGACCATGTAAGTACTGCACTGATCTGCCGAGGGCTGAACATTTGGCCTGAGAAGTTCATATTTCATCATGGATGACATGATTGCGTCACTGATTTCCTCCTTTTTTCAGGTTGTGTTGGGTGGTGGTCAAGAAGCTATGGAAGTCACAACTACATCCACACGCGTTGGAAAGTTCGATGCTCGGTTCTTCCATTTAGTATTTGAAGAAGAATTTGGACGTGTCAAAGGTCATTTCGGTCCCATTAACTCCTTAGCATTTCATCCTGATGGCAAGAGTTATGCTAGTGGTGGTGAGGATGGTTTCACAAGAGTTCATACTTTCGACCCTTCATATTTTGAATATCAGTTTGATTATTGAAATCATTTTTGCTACATTTAATATAAGGTATTTGTGGAAAAGGTCAACTGCTGAAGTATTTGTTAAATAAATTCTCAATTAAAGTACTTTTTTATCATTGTATTGCTTTTTCATAATTTTCTGGGATGTCCTGCAAAACCCAGGCATTACATACATCTGTTTGCATCTGTAAAAATTGTAACTAAATTATCAGTAATAAGATGAGATGTCTTCACAAAGTCAGGCTGTAATACCAAGAAATGTGTGTGATAGTACCAGATAAAACAGAAGTAAAATGAAACAAAAAAAAAGAATAATGATCTAATTAATTTCCTTGGAACTGAATTATATTTGTTGCTCACTTGATTAAGAGATTCGTTTCACACAGGTCGTAACCATTATTATTTGTAAGCCGTATGATGTAGTGAAATGACCCATGAACCCTCGAGAGGCCTCGGGCGAGACTAATACAGGATGTCTGTGTCCGAGGTACTCTTTGACAAAATGACACCGCTGCTGCTGCTGCTGCTACTGCTGCTGATGTTGGTGGACGAGTCTCCTCGGCTCCATGGTCTGGCTCCATTGAAGATCGACCGCCGATCTTTGGGAACGGAGGCGATGTCCTGTTTCGATGAAATCCAGCGCAAACAGAACCACTGCGAGCCCTGGGAAATTAGACGAGTAGTAGAATGAGAATGGATAGGAGGAGACTTGTACTGGCGTGCCGTGCCGTGTGCCGTGCCCTGCCATGCCCCACCTTCTCGTTGAGGGAATAGGAGGCGCTGCTGCCGAAGTCCGGCGTGCTGGAGAAGAAGCGCTGCAGCCAGCAGCGGCGGGCCTCTGGGTGGGTCAGCACCCTCGACACGAAGATGGCCACGCCCTGGAACGCGTTGAGCACGGTGGACACCACCCCCATGGTGGTGTCCCTGGCGGCGAGGGGCGACAGCGGCCACGTGACGCCCAGCAGGAAGGCCACGCCGATGACGCCGCGTACCTAGAACGGGAACAAGTAGAGAGGGATTCTTTCGATAGATGGTCCAGGGCAAGATGCAGCGCGGTCAGCCTGCAGGGTAGGCAACCCTCGCGCACGCGTGTTGTGCGGCACGGCCTACCCTCGGCATCGCAGGCGCTTGGCCGCGCTTGGCCTCGCCGCCGCGCTCCTCGCTCGCCGGTCGGTTAGCTCCCCACCTCGACTGAGGAGTGGAAACGCACGGCCAATCGGCCAGCCCCCTTACCTGCGCCCAGGACACCTTGGGGCGGTCGTCGGCGTCCTGGCGCACGCCGGGCAGCTGTCGCTGGCGCAGCAGGACGACGCACACGCGGACGAAGATGGCGAGGTTGGCGAGCATGACGAGGCCGCAGGGCGCGATGGTGGCCAGCATGTGCTGCAGCTCGTTGGCCCCCGAGACGACGCAGTAGTCGGGGTGCGTGTCCAGGTAGTAGTTGGGCCGCACCGCGCCGTTCACCGCCACGAAGAGGATCGGCACGCCTGGACCAAGGGTTATCGGACTTAGCGCTCGCAAATAAGACCCGAGAGGGTTTTTAAAAGAATTTCACGTGGGCCTCGTCGGCAAGTGATAGTGACCTTCTCCTGGGTCAGGGTTTATGGCCCTCCGGGCCTGGCTTGCATCACGCTTGTCAGCGCTTGACAGTGTGGGCGAGGATCCTTATCGATAAGCCGATTAAGACATCCTCAACCAGTGTCGCGGCCCCGCGGTCCACAGCTGTGCGCCTTTTGGACAAGTCGGTAGCGTCCAGGCAAGCGGGCTCGCGAAATTTTTCTTAGACATGCCTCTTTGGGGGGTTTCCCGCGCGGTTTTGCGGAAAGAGCAAGGCACCCAACGCGAACCGCGCACAAAGCACACGCAGACCGAACGCTGCCGTGAGTGTGGTTGGTAAGTACCCCATCCGAAGACCAGCCGCTTGAGGATGAACTTGGTGTCGGCCGTCTTGAAGACGGTCACGAGGATCTGGTACAGGAGCAGGCCCTCGATGAACATCCAGCTGAAGGAGGCGAGCAGGGACACGTGGACGAGCACGGCCACGGCCACGCAGCCCGGCGGCGGCAGCGAGCCCTTGAGGTTGGAGGCGAGGTAGGCCAGGTGCAGCAGCAGCAGCGACAGGCACAGCTGCACCAGCACACGGCCCCACCGGTCCTGGCTGAACCTGCGGAGCAGACGGCGGAGCAAACGGGCTTCAAAGATCCGTACGTCGGGGCGCTTTTCGCTTTTCGGCCTTGGAGCAGGACAGGACAGGCCGGCATGCGGGGCTAGCGGCGGCATGCCACCCCGACAGGTGCGTGGAGCGATTCAACGAGTGGCTGGGCTGCCCCAGGCTGCCCTTGCACGATAACGAAGAACCGACTATGACGCGGCCGGGCCATGCCGGGCGGCACGGCACGTCCGGTGTGCTCTCTGTCCTGCGTTTGCGCACCGTATCATTGTCGGCTCGCTGGCGCGTACTTTGTCGGTCCACTGTAAAAAAGAACACGCTGCCGACTGCCTGGCCTCCCGACTAACCCATTATGGGGACACTGCAGCGAGGACCGCGCCGGAGCAGCCCGTTTAATAGACACCTTCGCGGCGGAGACCCTGGGGAAGAAGGAAGATGAGGATGTGGAGCTATACAGAACGGGCAAATCCCTGAGGCAGTGCTACCCCCAGACCGGTTCACTCACCTGCTGAAGAACCTGTACGTGAGGATGGTGAGGGCGAGCCCCAGGACGCTGAGGGTGCTGCCGATGGAGCCCAGGATGGTGAGGGGCACCGCCATGTCGGCCAGGTCGCTGCGCGGATAGGGGTCCAGCAGCAGCGTGAAGGGCGTCAAGTGCGTCGCCTCGCACACCACGGTCATGCCGTCCAGGCTGCTCTGGACTCCGTCCGTGCGCCACACGCCGTCTGCGGACACACCGCGCGCGCTCAGTTTCCTTTCGAAACGGAACCGACATCGGATCCCTCTGCCGGGTAAGCTCACCGTTGTCGTCGAAGTAGGCGCAGACGTGCGTGGTGCCGATGGAGTTGGCGCCCAGCGGCATGGTGATGCGCACGGGCTGCTGCAGCCCCGACACGGGCAGGTCGAGCTCCTGGTCCTCGGTCTCGTCCACCTGCGGGCCGCGGCTCAGCGCGGCCGTCACCACCTGCTGGCTGCCCGACAGCGCGCCCGGCGGCACCAGCAGCTCGGCCTTGCGCACCGCCATGAAGCGTACCCGGAGCTACGACCGGACAACGGGAATAAAAATCGGCGGCGGCGGGAGTCGAACCAGGGACCTTGGATCTTCGCTCGCTTACCCCCTGCTGGCGCGTGGAGCTGGCCGCCGTCACCGCCTGCTGGATGGCCTCGGGCGACATCGTGACGGACACGTCGCCGTCCTGGCCGTCGTAGTTGACCCGGAACTGCATGTCCTGCGGGAGGTCGGGCCTGCCGTCCGGCAGGATGTCCAGCTTGTACACGGCGAGGTGCAGGTTGGGCATCCGGTGCTCGTACGGGTACTCGTCGTCGCTCAGCCGCACCCCGCGCCCGTGCTCCTCCATGAGCCGGAACAACTCGAGGCGCTGCGTGCCGTTCGCGTCGCTGGCCTCCTGCACCGACGGCGACGTCGCCACCAGGTTGCTCAAGGCCTTGAGCATGGAGCGCGCCACCTGCGTGCGTGTGAGGGGCAGCTGTGACCGCTCTGTCTCTCTCGCACTCAATCTGAACGCCTCGTAAGCGCGAGAGAGACGAGAGGAGAAGGCGATGTGAGCTCGTTCCATACCGTCCGGTTCGTCTTGGCGAGCTGGTGCGCCGCGAAGATGAGGTCCGTGGCCTCCTGGAACGCCGCGCTGTCGATCTTGGAGGGGTCGGACGTCATGTTCTCTGCGTTGCTCGCCGCCTCGGCGGCGTCCCGCTCCGAGGCTCCCTGCTTCAAAACGCGCTTTAGAATGACAGGACAGTGAGGCAGTTGTCGACGTGTCGGCGCTGCTCTACCTTGGTCCGGCACTGGCTGTAGTCGCTCTGGCGCCACACGGGGCCCATCGAGCGGCTGAAGGCACACCGCCGCGACGCCTTGGGGACGCCGAAGTCCGCCCCTGAGACAGAGAAAGAGAGAGACCTCCCGGTGACTCTGCTTCGCGCAGCCATGGCCGCAGTGGTGGCTACAGGGCACAATGCTTACCCGGCGTGTCGGGGCTGGCGCCGTACGGACACGCTTGCACGACCCACTGGTTGACCCGCGTCATGGGCCAGTCAACGGGGCCGTAGTCGGTCAACTCCGCCTCGGGGCAGCAGAACTCTCTCACGGGGAATTCTGGGACGAAACAGAGCGCGACGTTACACCGCGGGCAAGCGCAAGCAGGGAGATTCGTCGCTCTGTCTCTGTCGCACCTTTGAGGCGTTCTTTCAGGGTGCGAGAGAGACAGAGCGGCAAACTGCTCCACACACGCCTGGAGGGCTTACTGTTGACGCCGGCGCCGTGGCCGTCACCATCGCCCCAGGGTACGTTGCCGCAGCTCGCGTAGGGGTAGTACACGTCGGTCTCCGTCGAGGTTCCCGACGAGGTCGCCGTGCTGTTGATGCGGATAGGGCGACCTAAGGGGAAAATCCAATCGCTTTTACCTCCCCTTTGTAACTCGGACCTGCTCTGGACGCTCCAGGACTTACCATGATAGCCGAAGGAGTTGACGGCGTGAATGAAAACCAGGAAAAGGCATCCCAGATAGGCTCCCCGCTCGGCCGCTGCCATACTGCAATGCGAACCAAGATAATTAGCAAAGAAAACGACAACATAAACTGTTATCAGTGTGCCTTCTCTCGGAGTGAGTCAAGAAGAAGGCATTCGAGCAAAGTACATCCAGAGGGAAGGCCCGTTTTTTTCGGTGGCAGTGGATTGCAGGTGCAGTTCGTTGACAGCAAAAAATGCAAGCAAACGGGTTCCAAGAGATTGGCCTCTCTATTCATTAAATAATAAACGAATAAATCTGTGGACTCCTATCATAATCCAGCTCGCGTACGCGTACAGCACAGGAGTGCAGGTCGAGCCCATCTGTCACTCAAACAAAAACAGCAACAACAAAAAGCTTCCAATCCGATAGCATTTTGGCAGTGTCGAGCCGTATCGCAGGACAGTCCGAAATTATTGACTGTCATATCCCAGCAACAAAATGTAGGGAATGACGGGATTGATTCGGAACGCGTCTCGTCTTGGTGACGTCAATCGTGAGCGCAGTCAGCGCAGCGCGCCAGCCGGCGTAGAGCGCACTCTGAGGGCCGCCGAGACGTCAGCGGAGGCTCGCGGCCGGCCACCCGCCATCCGGGGCCTACCTTGAAGTCGCTCGCGGTTGAACCTGCCGTTCGGAAGGGGGAAGTCCCAGCAGCAGCTCGCTATTGGTCCGCGGGGTCCGCGGTGTGGTGCACCTCGACGACACGGGCGGGCCGACGGGCCGGGACGCCCACCGCCATGGCGCTGTGGTCGGCCTCCTCGCGGGGGGCGGCGATGTGTCGTCGGCCTCGGCGCCCGAGCGGGGCCCTCAGGCCATCCCCGAGCCCAGTGAGTGGGGGCCGGAAAGGTGTTCGCGACCAGCGGACAGCGAAAACGACTTCGGCGGACCGCCCTTCAGTGCGGCAGGATGCAGGACGGACGGAGCGTGGACGCGTCGCGGGCAGGCCAGGCGCCAAGCGGCGATCGCAGGGTGCAGACGCGGACGCGGACCACGACACTGAGCAGTCCGCCAAGTCCGTCCGTGCGGCGCCCCGTCGCGGAGATCCACTCCCAGAACTGTCGCGCGGTCGCGGGAAGGGACGCGCTACACGCCATGGCTGCGTCGCGCGCCGCGCATCGGCCGGTCGAGTAATCTGCCGCGCTATCTCTAAGGCAATACAGAGCGGCCAAAATCCTGCACTGCGGTCGCGCGGTCCCCGCGGTCCCGTCCCGCGGTCCCGTCGGCGGTCCCTCCCATCCCATGTCGAGTCGAGTCGAGTCGGCCTGGCCATGCCGTAGGCCAGGGCACTGCATGCAGGAAGTAGGCGCCAGTGCCCCGCCTCGGCCCCGCCGCCCCACCCGGCCAATGAGCACCTCAGATATTGGAACAAGTCTTGTTTACTCTCTGGGCGCGTCGCCTCAGCTGCCTCAGCCCTCGAGAGGCCCGCAGAGGTACGCAGAGCAAGCCGCAGTGGGGGTCCGTCGAGGGTCTAGCGTGGCGCCAGCGCCCGCCGAGTCGAGCATAGGCAACCTGCTCACTGCCGACTGGCAGCGCGTTTCAAAGGCCTGGGTAGTAGAAACAAAGGGCAGCCCCTAGTCCAAGTATTTTGACGAGGGAGAGCCCCAGACATCCTCTCAGGACGGTGCCTTTGCCCCATTCACACTGGGCTAGGCTACCCTTTTCCTGTAGACGCCTTCGCTGGGGGGCCATGGAAGGAGCGTTCACTCCGAAGGCGTATAATCAAGACGGCCGCCAGTGGATCGTGATTGTTTTCGTTTTACTTGCCCCTCGCCGGCCGGCCGGCCGGGCAGCCCGACGAGGTCGACAGGTGACCCCCCTCCCTTCTCCCCCTTCCCCGTCTCCCCCCTGACTCCTTCCTCCCCACAAAGAAGCCAAGTCCCTTTCCTTTGCAGTGAGCAGGCAGCTCGGTGAGTGTGCCTTGCTTTGTCTTGACCGCATCGCATTGCTCCGGGGTCGTTCGCAAGTCACCGGGTCATCGACAGGTTCGGTCGACTTCCGGTTTCCGGTCGCGCTTATCTCCAGCTCCAGCGAGGCTCCAGCGTGCGAATAGTTGAGTGCACTCAAGCAGCCCGCTTGTGTTGTTGTTGTTTTTGTTTGTGATTTGCCGGACCGCATTGGTTCATTTGCACGTTTTAGCAATTGCGTGTCTCCGAAGTTTTCAACAAGTCTTTGTCCGATACATAGTTCAATTCGAAGGCTAAACTGTCAGGTGAGATTCGGCGTATCTTTTACAGTACTGTCAGTAATTATATATGAATTTGTTTGATAATGTAATTATGCTGTGTACTTCCTACCTATACCAGACAAAAAATTCTTAAATGATTTTACTATTTTTGCAGCTATGGCTGAACTCATAGGAAAGCCCGCCCCAAACTTTGTTGCCACTGCAGTGATCAGGCAAGAATTCAGTAAAGTATCATTGAAGGATTCTTGTGGCAGATTCGTTGTGCTCTTTTTCTACCCAATGGACTTGTAAGCAGTTCGTTTTGTTTCATTTTATCTAGAGTTTTGATGTATTGCCCAGTAATAAACATTGCATGTTCATCTCTTCTCCTAGCTCAAGGGTGTGTTCTTCAGAAATTGTCAGGATTTCAGAAAAAATTGACGAGTTTAAACAAAGAAATTGCAAATTTATTGGAGTGTCTTGTGACAGTGAATTCTCTCATTTGGCTTGGATCAAGCAACTCGCAACTGAAAAGGAATTAGTTGATATAAATATACCTCTTGTGGCCGATAAATCTGGTAGAATTGCCAGAGAGTATGGAATTTACAATGAAGACCAAGGAGTCTCCAACAGGGCATTTTTCCTCATAGATCATGAGCAGGTCCTTTTCTTGTTTAGTAGTTATTTGAGTTACTTATTTTACCACAAGAAGCGTAATAGGCAGTTTTGGTTTACAGGTGGTTCGCTTTATCTCAATAAATGATAGACCAGTTGAGCGATCAGTGGAAGAGATACTCAGACTTCTTGATGTGCTTCAATGTGAGAATAAAGGTGCGGCACTAGAAAATTTTGACCAGAAAATATCAAGATAGCAACCGCTTACTATTTTTTATTCTTTCAGATGAGATGAATGTTCCAATGACTCGAGGATTGAAACGTCGTGTTTCTGAAGAAGGAGGCAATGAAGCCCCCATGAAAAAGGCCTTGACGTTATCAGAAGGGGAGGGGGCAATGTTGAATTGAATGCTATTTTAATATTGAGTAAACTATTGAAAGAAACAATTGCTTTAATGTGTGATGAAAGGGTCCCACAATAATTTACATGACAAGAAAAATTAGTTACCTAAGAGATCAATATACAAAAATAATGCTTTCTGATAGCTAGACCAAATGAAAATGAAATTAACTTTTCTTTCTTCATAATTCAAAGATTTTCCCAGTCACTAGCCAAGCTTATGTACTGGCATGGATAATGCATTGAGCAAGTCTTTTTGTACTCTTCTCTCAATCCTTCTTTCAGTACCTATTTTATCTTAACCTTGATCAACTTACTGGGCAAAGTCAAAAGTAACATCGTTTTTAAAAACCAATTTATAAAACAATAAGGGTAGGTAATTTTCATGGAGATCCAAAGAACACCGGCGCTCCTTCCTTTCTTTTTTGGTCTAAATTTTGACAATTAAATGTCATGATCATGGGTGTTTTGAGAGGAAGAACGAAGACAGCCCATGACGTAGGACCTCTTCAAAGATGCAACAATCTCACATATCAACCCCAAACATTAATGGAATTAATTCTTATAACTAGAAATAAACAACAATAAGTATACCAACAATGAATCAATTCTCAACAGGCCAAAATAACAAAGATATAAGGTAAAACAATAACCAACGTAAAAAATAATTTGTTGACTACTTCAGCATTGACACATGTCATCCAGAAAAACAATTACAAAAATTATAATCCTTCGGTACAAGTTTTTCTTAGAGGGTATCATATGAAAACTAGTGAAACAAAATGGCCCTGTGTAACTGATATATTAACTATATCCCATAGCCCTGACTTTGACATGACAAACCTTAGATGTGGAAATGAAACTGATTTTCTTTCCCCATCATGAACAATGATAAAAGACATCTAAAACATCAAATCACAGGAAGTATTTAGTTGCCACTACAAACAGTCAAAAAGATTTTCATAGCATTAAAATTGTGATGGAACTAGAGATAGTTAGTTATCCCCACGGTTGTCCCTTCTTCTTTTCAGACGTGCAGTGCATCTCCTTTCCCCTTCCTCTCTCCTTGGGTTTCTTCTGACCCACATTGATTGTGATCCACCAGAACTATCAGAGGACTCCATTACACGAAGACTATCCTCATCATCATAATCATCATCATCGTCTCCTTCGTACCAACCTCTGTGGTGCCACCGAGCTACAATTGTGTCCCACTGCACAGAAAAATAATTATAATTATGTAATCTGACAGGTTGGAGAGCAAAAATGGAATTTGCAAGTTCATGCATTTTATGAAAATGGTAGTAATGGGTGACTTACTGAGGTGCTTGTTATTTCTGGTTTGTATGGGTGCCATGACACATCTCTCACACATGCTTTGTGACCAAACAAAATTTTTGCAGGTTGACCCGTTAATGCATCAAAGACTGAAAAAAATAAAATCAACAGCATTGTACTGGCTTGTACATGAAAAAATATTGCTGGAGTCAAAACAAAAATTGCTAGTGTAGCTACTTACTGAAGATTCTGCCTTGAGCACAGCCAGTGTAAATATACCGTTGACCAGTAGAGGCAATTGGTGAGAAATGACACCTAATGAGAGTCTGCAGTACAGAGTGTCCTCTGTATGTCATCACAGACGTATCACCTTTCAGTTTTGGTGGAGGATTTCTAACTAGATTGGGAATAGAAAATCAATAAGTAACTCTGCCTTTTCTAGCTGCACAGGCTGAGCATGCAGCTAATACTTACACTTGGCAGGCACCTTCTGCCATCGGTAGTCCCAATGATTACTTCCAACTGCCTTTCTTGTTTCTTCTTGACCATCCTCACTCGAAAATGATCTCACATCCCATAACTTGATAGTCTGATCTTTGCTATTGGAAAGAAAATGCCTGCCATCTCCTCTAGGTTCAATGTAGGTGATACCATCCATGTGTCCAGCCAAGATTCCTACAGGCTTGGGATCGGTTTCTGAAAGGGTACGCCTGTCCCACACCTGGAAAATGTTGCCAATGATAAACACATTTAATCCAAAAGCATATTGTATGTGTTATGGTTAGAGCCCGTTCGCCGGTTAGGGTCCGGTCTAACCGCTCCGGCCCGGTTTGCTGTTAAAATTTAACTTTACACAGCTCTTACCTTACAGAGACCATCATCACTTCCACTGTACAGGATATGAGATGTATTGTCTGCATAAGCTACTGTGTTCACATCACCATAATGACCATCAATCTATAGAGTGGGGAAAAAGTTACAGAGGTCTTATATCCAAGCTCTTCTATGTAAGTCCAAAATAAAATTAAATTTGATACTAACTTTAAGGATCCGTTGATTTGAAAACCTGTCATATATATACAAGGTACCCTCATTTGCTCCACAGAGAATTTCTTGTCCGTCTTGAGAGAAGACCAATGAAAACACGCAGAACCTGCTCAAGTCTGGGTTAAGTTGTAGGGCATCTTGAGACTCTGAATCACCAAATAGTCGGACATGGTATACTGCGAACAGGCAGAATATTATTAAATTGCGCTCAGAATAATACCAACAGCACTTAACAACATATCATTATTATAATTTACCACTATCTGACCAGCTAGAATAGACACAACTACTGCCATCAGGACTAAAAGCAGTGTCTAATATACTCCAGCCAACATCACGTGCAGAAATCTTGCGGAGTAAAGTGAATTTTTTACCAGACGTACGATATAAACGTAATTTACGATCTGTGAAATGAAAGGAGTTAAAACTGAAGCAAAAGTACTTTATCAAAAGGAATATTAAGAATGACGAAGGAAATCACAAGGGTTACCTTGACATGCAGTCAAAAACCAGTTGCCATCCTGTGAGTATGTCCCACAAAATGCTTTATGGTGATACCTGTCCTCCACAGTCATATCATTTGGAAGGAATTGGTGTATAGCAGTAGAAAAGTCATGAGATGTGAATCCTGACCCACCTCGCATCCCCTCCTGCAAAGAAAAGAGCCAAAGATTTTAAACTTAAACAACATTTTTAACAGAGATTTCTGGCTCCAGTTTTTCTCCTACAAATCCCAGCTTGAGAATAAACATGCCACATGGACATTTTATCCTTACCTCTCGTTGGGCAATCATCTTCATAACAGATGGGGGTTTATCATGCTGGGAATATCTTTCGGCCTTGAGCCCACAGTTCATTTTAGTCATCAGACTAAACTCACTTTCCTGTTCAATGAGTAAAATAAATTAACTATGGGAACATGAACCGATAAGTGAAGAAACATGTAATCTTTACTTACGTCCAAAACTTTGGTCTCTGGATTATTAATACTTTTAATTTTAGAGAATTCCTCTTCAAATTCATCATCATCTTCATCATAATCATCATCGTCGTCGTCATCATCATCGTCATCATCATCATCTTCGTCATCACCAAGCAAAAGCCTTCGCCCCCTCCTCCTGCAGGAAAATTTCAAATTATTAGAAAAATTGTTGACAAGCTGCACAACGAGGAAGTTGGTGCATCGGTGCATTAAGTCGGCCCACATCAGAGAAAAAACAGTCGAGAAAAGAGAGTACAGCGAGTACTAGGGTCAAGTTCCTTTCATTCTGTTGTCGCTGACACTGACCCATCATGAGCTAATGGACCTCAACAGTCCAGGCAATCGTAACAATGACAGTGAGCCTCAGCCAGAGGGGAGCTGGCCTGGCCAACTACGTCTACGTCCCCTACCTGACAACGAAGTGGGCACGGTCAGTCTCGCGGGCCGCGGACAGCATCATCATGTCAATGAGTGGCTGCAGGGGCTGCAAGGGCCGCGGGGTGCTGTAGCCCTCCACCAGGCTGCGCAGACTGCGGCCCAGGCGCTCGGAGCGGCTGGACTGGGACTGCGACTGCGACTGGCTGGACGAGTTGGCGTTGGAGTTGGAGCCGCCGTCAGCGCTCAGCGGGCCGCTGGAGGAAGAGCTGTCTCCGTCCATGCTGTGCTGCGGCTGCGAGTTTGACGTCCCCATGCGGGGCGCTCGCGCCGAGCCCGAGGGTCCTTACTCTGCGCTGCGGCACAACGCACAACAACGGCGGCGCGTCGCGTTGCACAACAGATAATGGGCGCTGCGCTTGAGTCTCGAGGGTGCACGGCACGATACGCACGGATCCGACTGGCCTGTATGTGCGCATGTGCGAGACGCGGCCAATTCACACTTCACACCGACTCTCCGCTCCGCTGAAGGACGACACTTGCAGGACAAGGCGTGGAAAAAGTCACCTAGCTTCAAACGGGGACCGACGACATTGAACGAGTTCAGTTTGATAACAAATAGCAGACGTTATTTTGCTGACAACTTGACGTCCCAAAAAAAACATCTGTTTGCTAGTGTTGTTGTTTCCGACGGAGCTGCCAACGTACGCTCACGACCACTGATTGGAACCACAGCTGATTCGTTAGTTTTAGACTTTCTTTTCACCAGTAAGGCTCTAGGGAAAAGACATTTTAATTGTTCTCTCGCTGATAAGTCGTGAAATGTAACTAACAGATTACCTCTAAGAGAAGATTTTACGAATCAACGTGTGTTGCACCTTCCTGTTATTAGCGCGTTTTTTTTTGAAAATGTGTTCAAACGAAACAAGCATATAAGCCTCGCTTTTCGCGAAGAGTATTTCTTGATCGTAGTTGCATGACACGGGGTGACAAATTCTCACCAAGACTGCAGTCGATCTATAACGATATCATAGTTCCTTTTGAGAGCTACACAGAATGTCATGTAACGTTTTGGAGATGTCCAGGAGAGGCCCTACAAAGCCCAACCAATGGGGTCGGCTTTGATGTTGGGGTCCACAAGGTCAATAAACAATGAAATGACACAGGAATAACATTGAATTTTTACTTTTTTTCTTCAGATATTTCTCTTTATCTCTTTCATCAATTTTAGCTATCAACAAACTCCCCACTATTCGGATCAGAGAATAATTTCCAATGAATATGACACCAAACAATGACACAGAATAATTCATAAAGACTATGATCATTGCAAATTTGAAACAAATACAAACAAAGGAAAAGAAACATCAATACACTTTGTGTAACATCACCTTCTTTCCAAAAACAAAACTTACATCAAACACATCACCCCAACATTTTATTTCTTTTTACAGTACCTATATTTAAATCATAGAAAATTGGATTTGTTGCACACAACTACTAAATAAAATAGTGCTTTAGATTTACAATGCCTTGTCACAGGTTTCTGGGCCCAACACAACATGTGTAGAAGAATTTAGAAATCACTGTTAGATCTGGAGGTTCTCGAATATTCCCTCTAGAGAGAAAGCAATAAGAAAAACTCAGAGAATGCACTTTCCAAATCCCCAAAAACTTGAGCTGTAGTTGGGTTACACAAAATAAGTACATGATACAACACATTATTTTGCAAAACTGAAAAGAATAACAGTGCCTGTGTATTGTAAACAAATGTGCAAACTCTTAACAAGACATACGTAGATCAAAGTTGCAATACACATAAAAATTACAATTTTTTTCGTAAAAGTACCTCCAGCCTATATGAATATTTTGACTACAAATTGCATAAAAGAGCAGTTCCACTGCAGTAAGTTCATTCATGCACAAACGGTGGGTGTCTCAAAAATAAAAATCAGGGACATAAATCTTCATGGCAGATCTTCGTAGACAATTTCATTACAGCCTATAATCTTTTGCAGTTGTATTGTAAGTTAATATACAATGTCAATAAAAACCTGCAAAGCGTTCAAAAAAATATTAAGAACTGATTTAATTACAAAATTCAAATAAATAAATTAACAACATTTCAATCCTTATTTACACGCAAATAGATGGCAATATTGCTTAGAATCTTGCTAAAGGTCTCGTCAACTACCTATGGTGTGTTGATAATTTTGAACAAAATGAAACTTTCATGGCAAGTCAGTTTTGAAGGGCTGTGTTAGGTCATGGAAAAGCTTCTGATGATGTTTTGTAATTGTCTTTCACAATCTACAGATAAACACAATTGTGATGTTTCTCCAAACATTGTATCAATTTATTCAACAGGTAAACTATGAAAATGAAACAAAGTTACTGCTTTGAGATTACTAGTACAAATAATAGCTGAATAAAATGCACAGAGAAAGATTACTTGAATTAACAAATTGTCCAATCTATTCAAAGCCTATTGGTTTTCCCACTTGACTCTGATTGGGAACTAAAGAACCTTCAGAAGGAAAAAAATGTTGTTGGTCAACTTAATATAACTTAAGCCACCCAGCAGTTTATAGGAGAGCTTTGAAGAGGTGCGGACACAACCACACCTACATTCTTCAGTCCAGATTTTAAAATATGTCCAATTGCAAAAATATTTCAAACATATTGTAATCCAAATAGCTTCACTTTGAAGAGTGGGGCAACACAGAAGTTTGGTGCACCACTAGCAACAACCATCTGTTCTTCTTGAATTCACTATTGAACGCTACCGATGCACTCAAATCACACCATCCTCTTCAGTCTCAGAGGTGCATGGTCTGAAACCAGCACACCATGCTTCATTGCGCTGTTCTACATTCTTCCAACTCAGCTAAGGTCTTCACCACGGTCATTTTTTTAGTTCCTTTCATAAGAAGTCTTTGCTTAGTCACTTAAAATAATATTAAAATCTTCTCTTTCACTTTGAAGTCACATAATGGCAGAGAAGAGGAAAGACACTGTTCCAAAATATTTTTTTCACATAATCTTAAATCTTACCCTCAACAGTTCAGTCAACACTCAGTCCTATGACAAAGATCCGAAAAGTGGGTGACATATATTGGAAGAGAAGGGTTAGTGATAAAAAGTGGTCATCTGCCAAAAATTAGGACAGATGACCCAGAGCTCTACTTGAGTACCAATAATGGATGTTGTTAAAGGGGAACTCCTAATTTGATGGCTTTGAAACCAAGGTAACAAGAAAGAAAGGAAAAAGACAGATGAAACACTGAGCTCATTGTGGCTTTTCCATTTCCTTGTTCATGAAAGCATAATTCAATCGCATCATTTCACTCTTCAACATAACTAGAGATAAAGCCATCTAATATATATTATATGTATACATGTATAAATGTCTCATTTACATAGATGAATGTCAGCAGTGACATTTGCATTTTTTTCATCAGTATTAATTTGTTTGAGTAATAAATGTTGCACATGATGCCATACACCTCTCACTACAAGTTTAAAAGTCTTACAAAGGAAATCATAGTAATAAAAAAAAAGGTTAAATACAGACCACATAAGAACATTTTTCTATTAAATTCTTGTTACTAAGAACTTAAAAAAATTAGTGGTTTAATTCTGACACCAGCAGCATACAAACTTGATAGAAGGAAATTAAAGCTTGAAAAAATAATGTAATTTTCTTTCATGTTCAAGGTTAAAGACTGACAGGTTGTTGCTCTTCAAACAAGCAATTGAAAAAGAGACAGGTAGATGTACCTATTGAACTAATCACCAACTCAATAAAAAGAAAACAAATACAAATCCTACAAAAAGAAAAAAAAAACAATCCATCAATTTAACTTAATTGTAAGACGCAAAGAAAACCAGTGCCAAAAACCCTTTTCCATAAGCACTTTCCAAGTACTTAACTTAAAATGAAAATCTGCAGAACTCAGGTAAAGCTGCTTTGAGATGAGAAGCCACATCTCACTCATCAAGCTCATAGTGATGTTACAACTTCATGGCTCTGACACCACAAGATCTTTTCAGAAAATAAGTGTTCAAAATCAGTTTGAGTAGGCTGGTTCTGGAGCTTCAAACATGACTGAAAGTAAATTAATTCAGATGAATTGGAACATTAAATGGACACATAGTATAAGAAACTCTTTGGGCATTTAAGAAAGTTACAAATTTTTGGTATTATCATCAATAGTAATAGTATAAATAGAAACAATCTGCTAAAATATCCCACGATTAACAAGTTTGATAACTTGCCACTAGAGTTCGAGTCATCTTCAAAGGGTGGGGGCAGATTTTCGTTTAGTCTAATGACTGATAAAGACAAACAATTTCAAAACAAATGACAACTGTTATCTCTTTATCCAGGTCACCAATAGACCAGCTCCAGAGTATTTTTTGAAAACACTACACAAAAAGAGCAAATCTCAGGAAAATTTTGAGGGGGATCACAAGAAAACTATAGTCGATTGATATCCCAGCTAAATCCAAAGCAAACAGATTTCAGTTGGACACATAAAGATAATTGATTTAAACATGCTCTTTAATTAAAATTCAAATGTGACAGTGTACCTTTCTCCAGCCTCACTCATGAGCTATATCACAAAAAACCATACCATTATCTCTCAAATTGAGACTTGCTCAAATGAAAACGCTACCATCTGAGTTAACAATGGTAGTACAGACCAGTTCATGTCCCATTACTATGCCACTGACAGTGATTCACAAATCTTTGCTGCAAAGACTAAATGCAACAAAATGTATCCTGCAGATCACAATAATGAAGACATTATCATAGACTAGTTTAGAGTCATTGCTACACCATGAAATGTAAATGAAAACTGTGACAAAATTATTTTTAAAAACAAAATACAGAGGTCATTTAAGGTACAGGGCAATTAAAATAGACTCTGAATGTTTCTAAACTCTAAACCAAAACATTTTCTTGTAATAATTATAGTAGCAGTAACTTTAAACATGGATCAAACTAGACTGTGGGCGCTGCTGAGGCTTCCATAGCCCAACAAAAGTTAAAAGCAGTTGCAGCTTACTGTAACTGCTGATACACCATGAAGTGACATGGCACTAGGTGCACAAAAACCAATTCCTTCCACAATAGCCTTTAAAGGTCAACACTTGTTAAACTAATAATATAAAAACAAACTGATTTTCCACCCATTTTTTTTTTCATTTTACACAACATAATTAAATTTATTAAAACTAATAGTTATAATAATTATTGTTATTAGACCGACAGGTATATTCATCGTGGATTAATTCATGATTAAAAGCATGCTAATGTGGAGATGGGATATTTTCACTAGCTGGCTCATTCAGAACAGCAAACACACTGCAATACCAGTCCTGAATTTAATTTCTTCCCGATCTACCACTGCCTCCACGGCCCCTGCCACCATGATGATCTCCACCACGATCCTGAGACAGACAAGTAAAGTAGGTTCAGTAAATTTTCAAGCTACAAGAAAATCCCAGCAAGTAGTTAACAATAAAAATGGTTTTACCTTGTGATGATGTGGTGGTCCTCTGCCATCACGGTCTCTGTCTCCATGGCGGTCTCGGTCGTCCCTGTCACGCCCACGGTCGCCGCGGTCGCCACGGCCACCGCGTTCGCCGCGGTCACCACGATCTCCACGATCGTCTCGGTCTCCGCGATCTCTGTCACGGCCATGGTCCCGTTCCCTGCCTTGGCCATGCCCATGTCCATGACCATGTCCATGACCATGGTGAGCATGATCATGCCCGTGGCCATGTCCGTGGCCATGACCATGACCTTGAGGAGAACCACCAGAGTTAGGAGGCATAACTTTACGAGAGTCCTCCTCCTCCTGCCTTTTCTCATAATGCACAAAGTCATCAAAGATGGACGTTGAATGCCGATAGGTGTGCATAATTCTTAAGACAAGCTTTCCTTTTTCAAACGGCACTTCCTGGGTATCACGGGAGTTGGTCACTGGCTTGTTCTCATTATTTTCAAGACGAATGTGGCGCAGCTGGACATTAGGTACGTCTTTTACATAGATCCAACGGACCCCGAACTGTCCTTTCCACTTGTCCTGAGACCAAACAGAGCTGGAAGAGTTGTAGTCCAGAGGCGAGATCATCTGTGCCATACCACAGAAATGACCAGAGCCATTCACCGAGAAGAACAGTAACACTACGCCCCCCTCCATTTCCCTTTCTCGATAAGCTTCATCCAAGCGTTTATTGCCATGTTCAGTAGAACACCAAATTTCATACTTAATTGACCGATGAATATCATCTTCAGAATAAGATTTTATGACAAAGAACCTTGCACCTTTGGCCGACAGATCATAGTCCGGAGGATTATAATTGTTTTTGACTCGAAGTTCATCAAGCACAGGGTGGTTGGGGGTGGGCGCAGAGGGGTGAGGGTGTTGCGGCATATTCGGCATTGAAGCCTGTTGTGGAGGCATATGGTGCTGTGGAGCATGGGGTCCTTGCTGGGGGATGGGATGGTGCAGGATGGCCACTGGGTGCGGATGGGCGTGTCCATACGTTGCAGGGCCAGGGGGTGGCCTTGGGGGCCCACCGCGGACAGGCCCCCCAGGCCCGGCAGGTCCACCAGGCCCACCCCATGATGGTCGTACTGCTGCCGGGGGAGGAGCTACAGGAGCTTTTGGAGGAGCTCCGCTGCCATTCTTGCCCTCCCATGTCCCGATGTCCATGTTGTGTTTACCCGGAATCATTGGTGGCGGCGGCATTCCTGGGCCCTTTTTCTTCAGGCCACCAGTTGGCACAGGAGGCTGTGGTTTAGCAGGCTGACTTGCAATGGATGCCCACGTCATTTTCTTTGGAGCTGACTGTTGAGGTTGACTTTCTTTTTGAATTAAATCTTGAGGTTGCGACTTTAAGTGGTCTTTGGCATCAGGTACCTTGACATCACTCAAGCCCAGTCCTTGCATTCCATGTTCTACTGCTTTCACATCCACACCTCCTCCATACGCTGCTATCTCGCTGGCACGATAGTATTCATCATATTGAGCCTTTCGGGGCATCGCTCCTCCAGGAGAGTTGCCCCAGGTTGAAAAGTCCCCATTACTATGGAAATAATTAAATCCTGGTTGACCAAATGTTGTGTTAAAACCCGTTCCTCCGGTGCTAAACATGCCCTCCATTCCATATGAATCCTGCCCCATATGTCCTGTGTAACCCCCCATATAGGGCATTGGAGCGTCTCCATTTGACCAAGTTCCATCTCCTACTCCATAAGCCTGATACGCAAACGTTGAGGTGCCATAGAAATTTGGTATAGAATAGGGGTCTGAGCCCATTGAAGTAGTTGAAATGGGGTTTGAGTTGTATCCCTGAAACAAAATTCACACATAATAATTTCAGAAGACAAATTCAAAAATGCAAATGAGATTTAAAAAAAAAAATGGTAAGTACAATGGAATGGAAGAAACAAAATTATACCTGATGATGTTGAGGCCTCCATGAATCAAAGTCTTCATGTTCATTCACGTGCTCCTTAGGCCCATTTGCAACTGAAATTAACAAAATATTTGAAGATTGACATACAGCTTTCAACTCAAAGAAAATAGCTAAACCTGAGAAGTCTCGATATACTATTCTGCAAGAATAGATTGACTAATAAGAGACCAAAAAGAGATAAGACAAATATTTGTAATGTACCAAAGGCAAAGGAAAGGTTCACTCAACATGACAGAATTGACACTGCCCTGACTGCACTAAACTATCTGGAGTAAAAAATTTCAGTGACAAACAGATAGAAGTTTAAAAGAAACTGTGAGGAATTGAGAGCGAAAAAGTGTCAACTGAAAACGAAAACCGAAAGTGGTGCAGCCGCTAAGCAGCCGACGTCAACCAGAAAAAATCAGTCCACATAACCTCTGTGTGTTTGTCATTCAGAATACGCCATGATAAGACAACTATAAGGGTCATGGGTCACAGATGGACCTTCCCAAAAGACAACTAAAGATTTCAAACAAGGAAATTGGCAGAAAAAAAATAATAAGACAGCAAACTACACAATAAATACGAGGGAGAATGTCAACCAAAATAATCCACTGTACCTTGGTTCCCTTGTCCTTTCATCCGCTGGAAGTACCGAAGATGTCATGGAAACAGAACAGGCACCAAAGGCATTAATATTTCGAGGAAATGAAGAGGCAGGAGCAATAAACACAATTTCGAATGGAGTGTCGATTAAAGCCGAAGACGGAGATACAGACAGCGGAACCTCGTTAGCCTACCTGATCTGATACGCCTGCGGACATCACCTATTTTCACACTTTGCTTCAAATGTTGTGTAAAGTCTTGCGTCTTAAAATACACCCAAGTTTCTTGAGCACAGATTGCGGGGCACTTTCCTAATTTTTCAAGTTCATATATTTCTAAAAAGTTCAGGCACATTACACTTAACACGGACAATGGCGGCGGACAACACAACTTTGCTCTCACGGGTGTGTTCTAGATGAGAGGTCTTCCGGGGTCAAAAGCGGGCAAGGGGTTTGCTACTCTTTCCTATTTCCTGTCAAATTCAAAACGTCAACGAGGCGCAGGCTGTTCAGAATGTTGTATGGAACCCGCTGATCAATTTGAGACCAGACAGCGGCCTTTCCCAACGTTCCTGCGGACGTGGCCGGGGAGAATAGAGCGGCGTGCTCGGTCACATTTGAAGATGGTGTACGTGGTGCTCCTGCCTGTCATGCACGGCCTTCTGCCTTCTGCTATCGCGATGGTCTTTTGTCGCGAGGGCCGCCGTCGTCGCCGGTGTGGCGCGAGGCGCGAGGGGCGCGAGCGTACGGACAGACGCGGGGAAAGCCAGGGAAAGCCACGGCATCGCGTCCATCGCTTCGTCTTGTTGCCTCCAAACGACGAAAGTGCGCACTCCGCGCCATGTGTCGGGCAGCGACCGCGGCTTGCAGAAAATGTGGCTGTTGATCTTCGCCACCATGACTGTAACCTACACTGCGGAGGTGGCGACGTCCAGCGGGCTGGGATGTTTCCCTAAACTTCTCTTTAGGTTAGCAACAATGACACGATGTTTTGGGCTTGCCGACACACGCCTGCCAGATCACCCTAACTTTATTTCAGGTGGAGGGGTAGTATTTACAAGCTGCTGTGGCCGAACCTTGTTCTGTATTCCATCCTTTACTTCAGCCTCAGTCTGTACTACCGGTTTGTTTTGAGCCCGGCAGACAAAGAGTGGGTACCTTGGCGAAAGTAAACCATAAGCACAAAGCACGGCGCCGTCAAGGAGTCTCTCTGCGCCGCAGATGGTTCGAGCGACTGTCGATCCACTGCCAAACGTACGGCAACCTCATCCCCGTGTCGTTCGTCCTCGGCTTCTACGTGTCGCTCGTCATCAAGCGATGGTGGGACCAGTACGTCAGCATCCCGTGGCCCGACAACCTGGCCGTCTTCGTCAGCGCCCTGGTGCACGGCCAGGTGGGTGTCTGGCGGGTGGCGCCAAGCCGCGCCTAGCCCTCGGCGCTTAGCCCTCCCCGTTGCAGGACGAGCGCGGCCGGCTGATGCGGCGCACCGTGATGCGCTACGTGAACCTCTCCCTCGTGCTGACGCTGCGCATGGTCAGCCCGCGCGTCAAGATGCGCTTCCCCACCATGGAGCACCTCGTGGAGGCCGGCTTCCTGCAGCCCACCGAGATGAAGATCTTCGGCGACCTGGAGCGCAAGACGAACCACCCCAAGTACTGGCTGCCGCTGGTGTGGGCGAGCGGCGTGCTGACGCGCGCGCGCAAGGAGAACCGCATCACCAACGACTTCTCCCTCAAGACCCTCATCGACGAGCTCAACATTTTCCGCACGGGCTGCGGCAAGCTGCTCAGCTACGACTGGATCAGCATACCCCTCGTCTACACGCAGGTGGGCCGGTGGGCCCAGGACGGCCCAGGACACATCGACAAAAGGAGTTCCTTTGGTTATTCCCTCCCCCTTGTCATCTAGGTTGTGACGCTGGCGGTGCACGTGTACTTCATGGCCACCTTGATGGGCAACCAGTACCTGGACGTCAGCAAGGGCTACCCGAAGCACCAGATCGACTTAGTCGTGCCCTTCTTTACGTTCCTGGAGGTGGGTAACAAAAAAACGCAGCGAGTTTGAGTGCGTATGGCACTTGTTGATGCTTTACCCTGCACCCCTTCCAGTTCTTTTTCTACATGGGCTGGCTCAAGGTGGCCGAGTCCCTGGTCAACCCGTTCGGGGAGGATGACGACGACTTCGAAGTGATGTGGCTCATCGACCGAAACCTTCAGGTTCTTGCGACGCACCGTCAATAGAACCGGCCCAATAATGACTACGACAAATTAAAAGACGTTGTTCGAGCAGATGTCGTACGTGATCGTGGACGAGATGCACGAGGAGCACCCCGAGATGCTGCGCGACGCCTACTGGGACGAGGTGTTCCCCGCCGAGCTGCCGTACACCGCCGCCACCAAGCAGTTCCAGACGGAGCCGCCGCAGGGCTCCACCAAGAACGTGGAGGTGCCGATGCACATGGCGGACTTCGTCAAGGACGCGGCGCTGGCGGACGACGCCGAGAAGGAGGCCGCGGTGGGCGACGTGCCGGGAGTGCCGGTGCGCATGCGCCGCTGCTCCAGCGCCTCCGTGCACTCCGGGCAGTCCGGCCCGGACGGCGGCCACCGCAGGAGCAGGACGTCGGTGCTGAGCGTGCTGGCGCGGGCCTTCCACCGCGAGGACAGCGCCAGGGACCTGGAGGCGAGCGGCCGCAGCAGCGGGGTGTCCCTGCTGAGTCGCGCGACGGCCACCATCGCGCCGGGGAGAGTGTCGGCGTCGCAGGCCTCCAGCAGGGCGACCCTCGTAGGCAGCGACTTTCAAGTAAGTTCCTGCCTCTTGAAGTGGTGGCACGCCCTCGCCGTCAGCGGCCTGTGACAGCCGCGGTACCTGCGGTCGACAGGAGGACGTCTTCCGCCTCTCCGACGCGTCCTTGGCGACGCAAGGCTCGGCCCTCGTGACCACCGACGGCGGCGGCGGCGGCGCCAGGGTGCAGGTTCGTCAGCCTGCTCTGTAGGCCGGCCCGCGGCGCGCCCGTGCCCTGGGACTGCCTACGCGCCAGGCGCTTCGTCGCCAGCCAACGTCACCGACGTGGCCAACGACGTGGTCTTACCTTTGCGCCAGTTTTCCGGTGCGGTGGCGGGCCCGCATGCCCTCAGCCCGTACCCGGAGGGCTCGGCCGGCGCGGAGGAGAATGCGCATCTCAACACGGCGCCCTGGCAGACCGGCCAGCAGACCCTGCAGGACTGCCCGCCGCGGCGTAGCGCCCTGGTCGCGCGGTTCATCTCCGCCGTAGAGGCCGCGGAGCTGCGCGACGTGGAGGCCACCGTGGGCCAGGACGCCAGGTATGTGTGTCGGCATGCGTGCCGAGGCAGCCAGAGGGCGCCAGTTAGAGTGCTTCCCCGGCGTGCTGCCAGACCTGGCGGCTGCTCCTCTCCGGAGGATTTCATCACCATCCTGGCGCCCGCCGCCGTCAGCGAGGACGCGCCCTCCCCGGTGCTGCCCTCTGACGGGGACGTCGCGCTGCCGCTGCCTGACATCGCCCCCGAGATGGAGTCGCCCTGCGACGCGGCCTTGCCGGCCTTGCCGCCGGCGTTCACGGTGCGGCACTTGAAGCGTTTGGAGGTGGGCTGCGGCCGCCGGCCTTCACCCTCCTCACCGCCAGCGTCTCGCACTTGTTCGCTTGCAGGCCGCGGACGGCGCTGCACTGGGCTCCGTGCGGCGGGGCTTTGCGCAGCTGGAGCCCATCCTGGAGCACGTGGAGGAGCACGCCTCGGGCTCGTGCCCCGCCTCCGCCCCCGGTTCTGCCCCCGGGTCCGCCCCCGGGTCCGCCCCCGGGTCCGCCCCCGGGTCCGCCCCCGGGTCCGCCCCCGGGTCCGCCCCCGAATCGCCGTCCGGGTGCGGATCTGCCACCGAGACGGCCGCCCCCACGGCGACCTCGTCGGCCTCCGCGACGCCGACGGGCGGTCCGGGTGCCGACACCAGCCGCACCCTCGTTGCCGTGGACATGGACGCGTAGGGGTTGAAGAAGAGGGCCACTTTAGCAGATACGGTTTTATTTTTATATCAAAACAGTTTATTTTATAATGTGACTTATTCTGTACAGAATGTTATTATCATGTTGATCATGTGGGGAATCGCATGCATATGAGGTACGGTATCGAACTGTATTCATTAAAATCTGTTATTGAAAAAAAAGAAGAGAAGATTGAGGTAATTTTGGTTGTCCTTTTCCTTCGTCTCCCTCAGCAGCCCGTGTTCCGGGAAGAGGCATCCACCGGCATTCACTCACTAGCTTACGATCACAATGAACAGTTTTGCCTGACACAAAAACGACACAACACAAACGACGCGCTCGTCCGGACCGTCGCTCTCCCTCCCGCAGCTCCCGCAGAGCAAAACATGGGGAGGCGACAGGAGCGCGGCCATGCGGCCATACGTAAAGGCGAGCCAAATGCACAAGTGCCGGCTACTGGAGGGTCGGTTCCGTGTTTTACTAACTTGACATAAACTGAACTAAAACCACAACGCCCTGTCGAAGGAACGCGACCCGCCAGTAGCCGACGCAGCGCATGCACTTTGCTTGGCCGGGCATGTCCGGGCGGGGCTGGCCTCCTCGGTCCACTCGATCCACTTGGCACCGCAGCAGCCGCCACAGCCACCGCCTCAGGTCCGGGGAACACCAACGAGCGCGAGGCCAAGGCCTGCCAAACTGGGACGGGGGGGTCAGGGTGGCGGGGACGTCGCCGTGGCCCCCGCGTCGTCGTCGGGTGGCGAGGCTAGAGCGCGCCCGCGGATGTTCCGGGACCGCGGCCCTGGGCCTGGCCCTGGGTCCGGGCTTCACTTGACGGCCGCCGCCATCACACGTCCTCGTCGACGGGGAACTGCGGGCCCGGCAGCGGCTGGTACAGCGCGTCGTAGTAGCGCGTGCGCACCACGTTGTTGGACAGGTGGTGCCTGATGGCGTTGGTGTGCGTCAGCCCCGCCACCGTGCCCACGTTCTTCAGCGAGTCCTCCACCTGCATGGTCTTCTGGTGGCGGTCTGGCGGCGCCGAGCTGGGGTAGGTGCGCAGCGCGCGTTCCGCCCACGTCTGCGGCTTGGGCCGCTCCCGGCTCACGCCCCGGGACTTCTGGTCCAGGTAGTCGATCACGTCGTCGTAGTAGTTCTTGCGGTACAGGTAGATGTACTCGTAGTTGAGCGAGGTGGGCCGGCTCCAGTGCGTGAAGGGGATGAACTTGTCCAGCTTGCGGGGCTGCACGCGGCGGGTGCGGTAGGGCGGCAGCGCCAGGAAGGGCTGCCCCTTGGGCCACGCCCACTCGTCCACGCGCGGCCTTGGCGGTGGCTCCTCTCCGGCCGCCCCGGCCGCCGCGGGGGCGGCACCTCCGGCGGCGGCGGGCGTCGCCGCGCTGGTGTCCTCGGTGGCGCTCGACAGCCAGTCGTCGCCGGCGTCGTCGCCGCCCGCCAGCCAGTCTGAGTCCGGGTCCGCCATGGCAGCTGCAACAGTCACTGGGTCAGTCTACAGAACGACACTCCTTCGTGGCAAGACTAGCAGAACCCCGTCGCAGGGGCCGGGAACCCGGTCCGTTGGATCCCCGGTCCAGCCAACAATAGCAATGGCAGCAGACAGAGATGCATCGGGACTGTGCACCCCGCACCCGCAGGCAACAGGCAATGCAGCTCGTGGTCGGGGCCTTCGAGCCCATTGTGCGTTTGGCGCAAAACCAGCCGGCCCCATCAAACTGTCGAAGTTAATTGGAAGGGTCTTGGCGGCGAGGAATGGCGAGGGAGGGTCGCAAGTCGCAATGTGCGCCGCGGGTCTGGTCGGCCTATCGTTTAACGAGCTGGTCGCCGCGCACTGGCGGCGTCGGAACAACGCTCGCACAAATAAATAAATCCTTTTCTATGCGTTTCCAGAACTTTACCTGATCTGGTAGCTTGCATAAGAAAAAGACAGAAGCTCGTACCACTCCCGCAAAAAATAAAATAAAATTTTAAAAATTAATGAAAGAATATTATGTTTTGATTGGGATATTTTTCGATGGGCTTAGGCAGGAGTCTCGCAGTGACACGAAGCTCCTGCGAACCAGGCCGATTTCCTCTGAATTTCGGAGCTCACAGTGCCGGCGACGGCGCGCTGGAAAGGGGCCACGGCCACGTCGACGCGGCGGCCCCCGTTTCCGGGCGGGGCGGGGCTTACCTGACTGTTCAGCAAAAGGACGAGGGCGGGCTGGGGTGCTGCTGCAGGTGCACTGCCCGATCCAATCCGAACGCCTAACCGATCTCGACTAATGTGCTGCTTCCGCCTGACGCCTCCCTCGCCTGCCCCCACCAGGCCCCACCAAACCCACCCCCTGATCTCGCCGATTTCCCTCCCCCACCCCCACCACTGCCAATTTCGACGGCTGTCGACACCGCCGCGCCCCGCCGCGCCCGACCTCGCCGTACCCTGCACCAAGCGTGTTGTGAATCAGGCGAGGAAAAAAAAAGATTATCATCATGAAACTGGATCGGAATCGGATCAAAACGACGTGGGTCTGGGTGAACTTCAACGTGTTGGGGTGGAACACGATGAAACGCTCTGATAGTTTAAGGAGTCGAAAAAGAACCCGAGCAAAAATGCAGTGTTGAGTTTTCTTCTCGTTTTTTATCCCACCACCGGGTGGCGAATACATCCCGAACGCAACAATGCCGCTGCTTTTGAATAAAGCCGCCGTTCTTGTGCCGTCGGTTGTTCCCGGGTGTCCCGGTCCAGCGCGGGGAATCTGAACGCGCGGGCCGACGACAACCCGTTCGGCTTTGCAGTGTACAGTGTACACTCACGCAAGCCTGGCTGGCCCAGCACGTGCTGGCCAGTTGTTCAACCGCGGCTCGAGCTGCTGCAACTTGTTTGCTGCGGGTACCGCAGTACTGCACGGCGGCGACGGGGCGGCGACGGGGCGGCGACGGGGCGGCGTGGCGGCACCGCCACCAGGCGAGGACCGCCCGGCATGCGACAAGCTGCCCCGATGGCCTCCTGCGAAGGCCTCACACTTCCCCGCGCCCGCCCCACGCAGCCACGCCACTGTCGGGTGTTGTAAGGCTCTTTCCTAACGCCAAAACACGGACCGACCCCATACCGACCTCCGCATTTTGCGGTACTGCGGGGCCGGTTCAGCTCCCGTTGGGGGCTCTGCGGGGCCGACCTGGGGCCGACGGCAGAAGACCGGCGCCTCGGGCTGAGCTGAGCGTCTCGACGAAGTCCCCCGGAAGTGCACGACTGGAACTGAACCGCCAGAAGTGAAGAGCGTGTAATGTAAATAAAGCGTTTCGCAAAGGAAGCTTTATTTCCGAGTGTCGCAGTGCGGTCGATTCCGTTGCATGTCTCTCTCCTCTCGCCGCGACTCGGCGGCTGTCGCTGCGCTCTGCTGTCGCCGGGTTGCCTGCAGTCGCCTGCATGACAGTTATCTTTAGTGGCCGTCGTCCTAGTGGCCTCTGCGGCCCGGTGACACAGCGACACCGCACGGCAGGGCTGCACGCCGGGGCGGCGGGGCCGCGGGGAGGAGGAAGAGGAGTTAACTTTAGGGCACTCAGCCCGCGGTGTAGGGGTTGTCCCTAAGCTGGCTGGACCCTTTATATAGGGCCGTTTCGTTTAAAAAAAGACAGGTCTTTCTTTCTCTCTTAGACTTTTGTGTGTCTCTGAATGCGACGTTCACGGTCACGGTTAAAACAGTGTCCTTAGTGGCCCACCGTGGGAAAAGAAGTCATTTGTCCAGAGGTTGCCAGGAAACTCCGCCACTGTTTTTGCCATCGCCACTCGGGCTTGTCGTTTTGGTTAAATTCCCATTGGCTGCGAAAGTAATGAATCTTCTTCTTCAGCCGCTCCTCTTGATTGCGAAGGCGTCCAGGCAGCTGCATGGTGCTGCAGACTATCCCTAGCGGCCCACCCTGGCTAGAGGGCTGGCGTGGCGTCTCGACGGCAGGGTGCGTGCGCCACGCGGCCACGCGGCATCGCGCGCGGAGTATCGCCGTGGGCTCTCTGCCACAAGCGAGGAGTCTCGCGTCGCGGCGTCGGTGTGTGTGTGTGTGTGTGGCATTCGCGTAATGCGGCCAGATACCCCCACCCCTGCGCCACCTCCCCCGCGACGGCTCTATTTTAAACGGGCGCTGCACTGTGTCTTGTCTGACCATCCCCGCCTCTTCCCCGCCTCCCCCTCCGCCTCAGAAGCCCGCGCCGCGCCGCCGCGTTCCTCCAGGTGAAGGTGGTGAAGGCCGTGAAGGCCTAAGGTATCGATGCGTGGGGTCTGCATCTCAGAGAACGGGGGAGTACCCTACCGCTGCAGTCGCTACTTTGGTGCGGCTCCGCTGACTCAGGACAGCAGTTGAACTTGAATATTATGTCTCGTTACGTTGGGTGTTCTTCAGCTGCTTCTAGAGCTCTTTTATAACAGTGAGTATTTTCAGCTTTCATGCGAGTTAGGAGTTAGGCGTGAAAACAAAAAAAAATAATTGAAAAACAAAGCTTACAAAACAACAACTTTTATTTGAAATTTGATATTTAATAAACGACAAAACAAAACAAAAAAATGCACACTCTCGCTCTCTATCTCCCTGTTTCTCTCTTCTCTCTCTCTCTCTCTCTCTCTCTCTCACTAACACACCCAAAAACGTCACACCGTCTGCGCTACTGTAACGAGATCTAAACATAGGATTGTCACAACAAGTTATTCTGAGCACCTTTCTACAGGGACTTGGTAGGAATTCACTTTCGGCGGCACGCACAACACTGAAAGCAGCAAGCTTCATGTCAGCTTTGTAAGTTTGCACTTATGGTCCTTAGGTTGGCACCTCAGCACTCTCACTCATTTACTCAACAAAACAGTCAAAATGGCCTACCATACATACTTTTTACCTTTCCTGTTGGCTGCCTCCGCACAAGCATCTTTGATTTAAAAAGGGTAAGCACAGTGTAGCACGTTTTACCATGGTCTCATCTTTTTTTATTCACATGTACATCGCTTACACATAACGTACAAAAGAGGTTAAATATATACATAGACACTAGTCCCCACGTCAATCGCGGCCTCCACCTCCACAGGCGTCACGAATCGAAATGCACCTGCGAAACTTGACGAAAGTCCGTATTTTTGAAGTCCCTGTCACGTCTGCAACTGTCGCCGTGTGTGTGATAGGGCGGACAGAAATCGGACGATTCGTCAAGTTCCGCCCCCTCGCCCCCAGCGGAGCCTCCAGCGAGAAGCCGGCAGGCATCGCGGTGGAGCGGGGCCGAGGCTGGAGTCGCCTGGAGCCTCGCTAGCCGCAGCGCGCAGCCAGGGCGTACCAGGGCGTACCAGGGCGTACCAGCACGAGTCCTCGACGGGAGCTTCACACAGCCATGCAGTGCCTGGCGGCTGGCGGCCGGGCCAGTGACGGCATGCCCCGGCATGCCGCGAAGCGAACGATATAAAAGCACGGTTTGATGTTGGTGGGGCTGCCGCGTGTCCACGGCCTCCACGGCCGGCTGGCCGTTCTAGTCCGTTCCATCATCCACCGCCATGGGCGGCAGTGGCCCACGGGCAGCCCCGCGGACAGCCTAGAAAGTGACGGTCTTCTTCTCGGAGCGGAGGCTGGACTTGACGCGCAGGCTGGACGAGTCCTCCTCGGCGGCGCGCTCGGCGTTCTCGGCGACGAGGGAGCGCAGCTGGGCGGCGCGCCGGTCCCGGAAGGCCGACCTCTCAGCCAGCTCCTCCATCTCGTTCTCGAGGTCCTGCAGCCGGTTGCGCGTCTGGCGCGCGCGGTTGATGGCGGCGGCCTCGGAGGCGCTCTCGAGCGCGAGCGGGGAGCCGGCGCCCACCTTGGTCCACCGGGTGAGCTCGCCGCCCTGGGCCGCGGCCTGCTCCACGTCCTGCGTGATGCGCAGCGTGCGCTTCTTGATGAGGGTAGAGGCCGCGTCGCTGTCCAGGTCCAGCTTGCGCAGCCCGACCGTCTCCAGCGCGCGCTCCGCCAGCGACTGCTCCCGCTCGTTCTTCATGGCCACCAGGTTGCGGCGGCGCGTCGCCACGCTCTCCGCGACGTCGTCGTCGGCCTCCTCCAGGCGGCGGGCGCGCGCGCGCCGCACCTCCTCGATGGCGTCGTCGATGTCGTAGCCGTTGGAGGCGCCGTTGGCCAGCGAGGACGCGCGCAGGCCCGCGCCGCCGCGCTCGCGCTCACCGCGCGCGGACGGCCGGTTCTCGAAGATCTCGTCGAACTCCCGCAGCGCCGCGGAGGCCGCGCCCGACAGGGGCTTGCGGCCCACCTCGGAGATGATGGGGTCCTCGGGGAAGTCGGGCAGTGCGGAGCCAGCCCGCCTCGGCCTGGACACAGAGGCAGCACGGGTCTTGCCGTCAAACCACGCCGGGGTGCGCCGGGGCCGCCAACCCTGCCGCGCTGCCGCGCCTCTTAACCCTCTCCGCCTCGCTCTCGCAGTGCACGCGCATAGCTGGCTAGCCAGTACCAACTCTCATTTAAAAAAAAAACAACATTTAATAGTAAGTTGGTACTTTGTTAGGATGTAATTTTTTTTGCGAGCTGTTTACTGACTTTGTGCTGAATCTAAGAGGAGGCCACATTATTACGCACAAATAAGGCAAAAACTGTATTCGAAAAAAAAAAACTGTTTTGACTCGGAAAGGGTTAAGAGCGAGGCGGCAGTTGCCTCGCGAATGGGCGACGCTCTTCGCAGAGGTTAGTCTAAGATATTTTCAACATAGAGCAACAAAAAATGTAAAAACAAAAACAAAAAAAGATATAAATAAGTGGATGCGGGTTAGTGATTGCGGTTTGCAGACTTCTGTCTACTACTTAAGCGTGCTTTTGTATGGAGACGGCGTTCGACATGCTGGGGTGGACGTTGCAAGCTATGGGTGGTGGCCTCCAAGGAGTGCAATGCAGTGCATGGTGCAATGGGAAATTAATTATTCAAGGCAACAGAGTTCCAATAAAAAAGAGGGATGTATTTTTGAGCCGATCATCATCATAATTATTTTACACATTTTTTTTCTCAGAGAAAGACAAAAGAATGAATCAAACAGTATGTATGGTGTTGTGTCGGGATGGGTCTAGGAAGCCGTTACAAGAAGCACTACGGGCTCAGAATCTAAGCCAACCGCTGACCGGGCTCGACAGGGGCAGGAAGGGGAAAGACCTGGAATCACACAACGGGCCCGAGCGCCAAACGACTCATCAGTGCTTGAATAGGGCAAGTCGCGTGCATTTTCGGAGCCGCCCCCGAACAAGACAAAGTGATACAGGCGGCTGCTTATTTCATGACAGTGGGGGAACCGTTTTGCCTTGCGTGCTGGAGTGCTACATGAAAAAATTAAAGATAAAAACGAGATTAGTGTCTGTATGAAAATAGTGGAAGGTGGATAGAGATGAGGTGACGGAGTGACAAAGTTAGATGGTTGGATGTACAATGAGTGCCCGGCTCCCGCTTGACCCTGCACACGCGTACATGCACGCTGGCACTCACTCGCCTGGTATGGTATGCACCCTGGCACAGTCCCCTTACTGTAAAAAAGTCGGGCTTTAATTTACCCACGTGTCGGGCGGATAAATTTACTCTTCGGCACGCAGTCCAGTAAAGTGTCCCCAAAAGTTTTTGGCGTGTGGCTCTGCGGACGCGGGAAAGTGGCACACAATTCGACGTAAGTCCACGCCAGTCGGTGGGCCAAGGCTTCGTGCAGCAATCCGTGTTGTGTTTCCATTCGACGGATTGCACCAGAAGCAGCTGCCGCTGCACTGGCCAACTGGCTGATTTTTCGTACTCGCAGCCGAATGCCGACTTAACAAGCTGCGCCTCCTCAGTCGCGGGCCTGGCAGCGCGCCAAGTCGCCAAGTGGAGGGGGTGGCGGCGCGCCTGACATATGGCGTTGGCCTGTGTCTTCACCCGCTAACTTTCAACCCTTTTTTTTCACAACATTTCCGTGCCAGGGTGTAGTGTACCTACATTCAGGACGAGTGAGTGCGCGTGCGCGTCTATTTACAACAAACATTTGCTCACAAATACATTGATATGTACAACGTGCAGTACACAGTGTGCAGTCGTGCGGCCCGAGACGAAGATAGTCGTCGAAGAAGGATGAAGAAGGAAGAGAACAACAACAAGCAAATTGAAACATTGAAACATGAAAACACAAGGGCTGCGTGTGTACCACACGAGTGGGGGTGGGTGAGCCTCCTCTGCAAATCAAAGAGTGGGACAGTCATAGTCTTAGGAGAGTGGACAGAGCCTGGTTCGGGTAGTGGCTGCCCGAGAGAGACAGCGACGAAACAAGCGTTTCGCTGTCTAGTGCGACATGTCCGACTCTTTGGCGAGGGGCGTGTTTGAAACCGCGAAACTGGGAGGGAGGGATGCTCACCTGAAGAGGTCCTGCTCCTCCTGGTTGGTGGGGCGGGTCGCCGGGTAGGCGCTGGGCATCTCTGTGGGCCTGCCGGAGTACTTGCGGTCCAGGTGGTCCACCATGGGCTTGTAGTAGCTCTGGCCGATGTTGTAGTTGCAGTCGTACAGGCGGGTGCGGGGCCGGCTCAGGATGGTGCGGGAAGACATGGTGGCGTGTGGCGGTACCAGGCCTGCAAGTGCAACAACGTTACAGACACAGTCAGACAGACAGACAGAAAAGGGGGCGCTCCACCCTGCCAGGCCCCGCCACGCCCCGCCACGCCCTGCAGAGGTGAGCTAATGCACCATTGTGCCCGTCGAGCGCGATGCACGTTGCACCCCGATGCCCAGAGGCTCTTGCCCTCATCGCTCAGGCCCCTCAGCCACCCTCAGCCCTCGACCCGCCCGTCAGGTATTTCTGTAGGAACGGGATCGAATGACAAAATGTTGCCTTTCGGTCATGGCCCCGCTGCGGCGTATCATGTGGGAATCATTTGGCCGCTGGTCTCATGACAAGTTAACAATAGAAGTCGGTGGGCACGGTAAAGATGCCGTGCCCGAGGATGAAGGTGTGACTTTACTTTTTCTCGAGTAGCCTGCGGTGTCACTCAAGAGTCGAATAACGAGGAACGAGCTCGCGGACTGCCAAGAAAAATGAAGAAAACGGAGGCGGTGAGGCGACTTGCGTCATGGCAGAGGCACTGACAGACTCCGCGGCGGCGACGCGGTGCTTTGTCAACGCGAACGTGGCGGTCGTAACGGCTAAACCTAGGTCAGGTCACGCCGTCACTGTCAATACCCCGCGCGCCGCGTGCGCAGCGTGACGCAGGCACAGAGTCTCTCTCGCGCGGGGTAGCGACCGCGGGTCACGGCTGCCACTTGGCAGGGCGTTTGCCTGGCTTTAGCCTGGCTTTACCGTGACCTCGCGGAACTAGAGCGCGCCGTCCTCGCCGTCCTCGCCGCGCCCTGAGCTGTGGCGCTGTCTCTCTCGCACGCAAGGGGCGTCCCGCAGGCAAGTGAGAGAGACGGAGCGACTGTCCGGGATCGCTCTCCTTTCCATCAGATCTATTCTGAATCGCGAAGCCCAGCCGGCCGCGGTGTGATAAAATCCAAGGCACTGCACCTGCCGCGCGCTCCACTCCACCCCGCCTGTTGCCTCGGCGTGCCGAGTGTTGCAGTGCAGCGTGCAGCCGAGCGAATCCGAAGAGCCATGTTCGCTCTGTCTCTCTCGCACTCCTGCGCGATGCCCCATGAGTGCGGCGGAGATAGAGCGATGGACGACAGCGACTCTCGGGCCGAGAGTCTCGGCCGCTTCAAGTTCCGGTCCAGGACGCACGGTACTGGACGCCGCCTGCGGAGCGGCGGGTAGGCAGTCCCGCACGCCACCCGTGCGCGCGCGCTGCCTGCCTCCACGGCGGTGGCCGACGGCGTGGCCGTGGCCGCCGCGGAGGGTCGCGCCATCACGCCGGAACGGGGCCGATTCCGAGAGTCGTTTCCGTCGCTCTGTCTCTCTCTCGCGCTCATGCGGTACGCCCCGCGAGTGCGAGAGAGACAGAGCGACGAAAACGACTCTCGGAATGAGTGTGTGCCAGGGCGGGTGGAGCCGGTGCACGGCCGCTATTCTTGGTGCGGCCTGCGTCGGCCTGCGTGAGGAGGCACGCCGCGCCGCCGACGCACCGCGCCCCGCGGCTCCGCGAGTCCGAGGGCAAGGTAAAGGGAACGCAAAGGAAATAGAAGGCGCTTTGATCGGCGAGCCGCGCGTGCCGCGTGCCGCGTGCCGCGTGCCGGGGGGCGTGGACGTCGTGCAGCACTGCGCGCGGGAGTCCCTCATCCCGAACAGCGCTCTGTCTCTCTCGCACTCGCGGGGGGTCTTGTTGACGTGCGAGAGAGACAGAGCGCTGTTCGGAACCAAGCCTGCAGTCGCCAGTGCCAGTCACCATGAGTCACCGCCTTCCCGAGCAGCAAAACATCAACATCATATTTTCTTAATGAAGTGGCTTGGCTGGCGGCGTCGCCGCGCTTCGCCGCGCTGCGCGGAGGAGGGCTTCTCGACAGGAACCGCTGGTGTAGTGGAATCCGAGTAAAGAGGTTGGCCGCCTTGAACCTCAGGGCAGGTTCGACAGGCCAAGCACGAGGGTGGTGCCGGCCTAATATTAGACAGGTGGTTTTCGCGCGGCCCCTAACCGTGTTATTGGAAAGCGAGCCGCGAACGCCGCCAAGGTCAGGGCCACACGGCCACACGTCCACACGCGGCCAGCCGGCGGGGTGGGTCTCATTGAACGCCAACGCAACGCCCAGTACACTGATTCGCTGTCTCTCTCGCACCTACATGGCAGGCCGTATGAGTGCGAGAGAGACAGAGCGATTCAGTCTTCAAGGAACGCCAAGCGGAGCCATTTATCGCGCAAACACGCCTGCGGGGGTTGGCACCACTTGCGGTGTGCGAGTGTGACGTCATGGAGTGGGATCGGCGCACTGCGGGTGTGTGTGCGAGCGCGTGTCTCTTGTGGTGGGATCCCGCCGCGCCGCCGACGCCGGTTTTATAAAAAGAGACAATCGGGGCCGGTGGGCACTGGTAGGCGCGTACAATGCTATCGCGCGACATCGGGAATGAGACGCTGGGGAAGGCGGGGGCGTAGAGTGTGAGGCACAGTGTGGGCACGGCGAGGGGCTTGCCAAGTGGTGCCACCGACGCGAGGCCCCATCGAGCGCCATCCCGAGCGCAAAGAGGACACGATAGGACCGTCGCAGAGGAAGAAAATGTTCTGGCTGGGCTCTTCGAGGGCCTGCGGCCTCTGGACAGGCAAGCAAGCAGCACACCTTGACGGACGCGGCCGGCCGAGACAGGCGGGGGTGGGGGAGGTCGCGCTGGCGCTGCTGGCGCGTTCACGCCCCGGCGCGCTGTCTCTCTCGCACCTACACTTGAAAACCCGCGAGTGGGAGAGAGACGGAGCGCCGCCTCGCCGCATTGATAACGCTTTGGCCGCGCGCCCGGGGAAACTCGATCCCCATTTGACTGAGTGATTAACGCGCACCGCGCGCCGGCCATAGCGATAGTCATGCACCCCCGATTCCCATTCGACTAAAGTAATTTTCCGGAAGGTTTCACAGTTTTCCGGAGAGACAAGTGAAACCTTACGCACCACTCACGATGGTCGCTGTTTCATGGCCGTGTTTCTCAAAGGAAACAAATAAGTGTCCTGCTTCCAGACCCCCCCGTCAGTCGGGCACCTTGCAGCACGATTCCGCTCTGTCTCTCTCCAGCCTCTGCGACACACCCCTGAGTGCGAGGGAGACAGAGCAGGTGCCGCTGAGTGACAGTGATGAGGCTCGCGCGCTGGCAAAGTCACTCGGCCGTCGCGTTAGCGGCGGGACAACTAGGTCGACCTCTACCATGCTGTCCCTCCCCCTCCCCTTTGTCTAGAGGAGAGGCCCACGTTTACAGTGTCGCCGCCAACGACCATCGAAAATAACGGGCCAGGGTCAAGTCCGCCTTGAAAAAAGGGGATCCGCCAAGCCGCTTCAGGCAAACCCACAACACGGCGTGACGGCGTGCCGCGGCGTGCGCACTTCCGCACCACGCCGTCAGTGACAACGCCCTGTGTCCGCTCGCTCAGGGCGACGAAATGGTCGGCCGGCCGGCTGATTTTGTCTCTATCGCCGACTCAGGGGATGCCCCACGAGTGCGAGAGAGACAGGGAATGGGCCATCTCGCCGCCGCCACGCTCTGCTAGCGCGATGATGACTTTGGCCGCCGCGATGGGGGCTGCTGATTGGTCGCACGTGGTCCGGCACGGACACGCGGCACGGCACGGCACGGCACGGCACGGCACGCTGATTCAAACTGACGCCGCAATGCCGCGATGCCGCGGTAAAGATAGACCCGGACCACTCCACTCCCAATCCCGACCCTTCATAAATCGCGTCACGCCTTTGACGCACACACGCGAATTAGTCTCGTGGGTTAAGTGTGGCCGGCGACAACAACAACACCGTCGTCGTCAACAACAACACGGACGGCCTGACGCGCACCTTGCAGCCTTGCAGGCCTTGCAGTGCATGATGCACACCTCGGCGCCGTGCCCGCCGTGCCGCGCGGCCGGCATAGAGTCATCCCTCATGCGGCGCACCGCGGCACCGCGGCACGGCGGCACCACGCGCCGGGGCGGGGCGGTCCGTAAAAATACAAACGCTATTTTTAATGCTTGGCGTGGGACTGCGACGGGCGGAGGTACGGCCCCCCTCTCCCTCTCTCACGGCTTAATTCCCCGCCGCGGAAAAGTTGTCGGTCACCGCGAGTCGGCTTCTCGAGAGTCGTTTCGCCGCTGTCGCTGTCTCTGTCGCACTCGTGGGTCGCCCCGCAGGCCGCAGGGGGAGCGAGAGAGACGGAGCGACCAAGCGCCCGACGTCCGGCGGGTAGGCAACGCGCTCGGCAGGCGCGCGCGACCGCCAGCCGGCTGCCTACCTCGCCGGCGTCTCGCCGCCTGGAGTCGAGCCTGGAACGGCTGGAGCGCGGACCCGAGCGGGAACCGACGGCGCCTCAACGCGCGACCCCGTCTTCGCGTCAAGTCGCGTTTCGCAGTGTGGGGGGAGAGAGGGAGGGTGGTGGACGGAAGATGGGCGGCCGGCCCGCGAGATGTAGGTGAGAACGAGAGCGAGAAGCCCCCTGGCGCCTCGCTGCCTCGCCGCCTCGCCACCATAAGGGCCCGGCCGGCGACCGGCACCGCGGCGCCGCGGCACCTAGCCCAGCCTAGCGAGGCGTGCGGGCAGCGGGCGGGGGGGGGGGGAGGCCGGCGGAGGGGAGGGGTAGTAAAAGTATTTCGGGCCGCGAAGCACTGCGAAGCACTGCGAAGCTGCGTTCGCGCGGACAAGAGGAGAAAAAGGCGCGGCGTCTTTGTCATCGCGCCGCGCCTCTGCAGCGGGTGGGAGAAGGACAGGACGGCGACCTGCATGCGGGGGGCGGAGGGCCCGCGGCGGGCCGGCCGGGCGGACAAGAGGAACGCAATCGCACCTTCGAGGCAAAACGACGGAACCAGCCCCACGACGCATTGCAATGCAGGCCGGCCGATCTCGTGAATTTGCCTTTCCGGATGGCGAAGGCGAGCAGTCCAGGTATTCGGGTTTCACGCAGAGCGATACGAGGGCCGAACGGATACAGTGTCGTGGCACACGTCGCACCGCACGCCAGGAAGAACTTGAACCATCGTGGGGTGTGCTGAGCACAACCGGTCAGCCACTCAGGGTGCCGTGCGCTATGCTGTCACGGAGCGTTCCTCGCGCGTGTCAAGGTTGCCTCGCTGCACCTGCTTGCACCCCGTGGGGCACCCCGTCGGCCTGGAGGTGCTGGACGCTGCCACGCTGTCCGGAGGAAGCGGATGGGAGAGGCGTCGTGGACTGGGCAGAGGCAGCTGGAGGCTGGACCAGGCTGGACAGGGGAGGGGAGGGGCGGCAGGGCGGCGGCGGTAACGATACCTGTGACGAGACTAAGGTGGCGGAGTGCGGGGCTGTGGCGCGCTGCGAGGTCCCGGTACGACTGGCGTGGCCCCCTCAGGGGTCGGAGAGGCCGAGCCGTGGGCCCCTGCCCCGCCCCCCGCACGTCCTCGCCGTGCGCGAATTCTCTCCGTCGCACCCCAGGGCCCCTGGGCCGCCCTGGGCCGCCCTGCGCCGCGGACAGCGCGTATACGACGGAGACAGCGCTCCACCCCTGCACGCCCCGAGCAGAGCAGCGCCCAGCAACGCGGACCAAATACCCTTCCCACCGTGAGGCCGGCCACTGCTTCAAAATGGAAATAATACCATTTTCGGCAAGAGGCCGGCTACTGGTTGAAAAAAATATGAAAAATGAAAAAGATGCGAAACCATGGCAGCGCCATGGCCGCGACGCACAAACCGTGAGCTGGGAGGGGGAGCCACATTCCCCACGCAGTCACGCAGTGCGGCGTTCGAATTAGACGCTCTCGCCTCTCGCCGTCTCTGTCGCGACGGGACGCCCCACTACGCCCCGCTCCGCCGCGCCCCGCCCTGCCTCGCTTGTGTATCGCCGGCTCACTCAGCTACTGACAGCCCGGCGTTTCGATATATTGGCTTTGAATGTTCCAGTGGCAATGCCAGATGTTTAATTAAAGTGGTTCTAATGGTGAAAAATGGGATAAGATTGGGGTGTAAAAAGAGAACCACCCAAATGTTTTTGAGTTCTTTACTTGAGAATCAAGTCAATATGATTCAGAGTCAATACAATTAATGAGAAAATTTACAAATAGAACAATGAACAAGGTCAAGACACTGGGATGGTCAGTTATCAGTGTTGTGTTAACTGATACCTAAAACTAATCAATATACAAATGAAGACAAGGCAAGATAAAAACTTACTATAAAATTTCAACTAAAAAAGATTTTATCTATCACATGTAAAACTCACTCAATTTACTTTGGCCCATCTTGCTTTATTGCACTACTATAACAACATTATAACTACCGCACAATGTTTAAATTAAGATAAGGACCTCATCACAGAAATCAGCATAACATGATTGAGAAAGTTACAAAAGGAAATTAAACGAAATGTAACTATGCATTCTTTGACTCTGCATACAACAAGAAAAAGTATGAAGATGTACAAAATTGGAACTTAAATAGCTTCTAGAGGAAATTTCATTAAATGCGGATAGCCAGTGAAGTGGAGTTTGGTCTACACATAACATAATCATATAAAATACTTTTAGAGATCAACAGTCAATGTTCCACGCATCTTGAAGGAAGTATGGTCCACAACAATGAGGGGTCCTCCAACAGCCTAACTAACTTTTAAAAAAATAAAAATAACAAATTTCCTTAACATAAGGTAACAGTATTCAAAATATCATTCAATGCCAAGGGCAAAGATCATAACAAGACCAGGTTCAGTCATAAGGTCCTCAGCCATATGGGGATTGTCACATGCAAGAGCAAGCACAGCTTGCTTCCCAGGGATTCTGCGACACACATAATTATCGTATTCTCTTCTTTGCCTCTGTCTGGTCTGCAGGGACGCAAGACCAGCTGGCCACTTGCGCTCATGACAGTTTCGCATTAACTCTTCCATGATGTGAACAGGACACCCAGACTCAGATAAGGATCTTTTGATCAGGGACTGAAAAAGAATTAAAGTTAAAGCATCATGGGTGACATAAACCAAAATCAAGACATACGACAAGTGATCATGAAATACGCTACATACCTGTAGAACATCATCCGGAGTACTTATCATAGCTCCCCACCGAGAAACCCGGGCTTTTGTCAATGTATTTGCCCACCTCTTCACTTCATCCTTCTCAAACTGCTCTGCGATGGCCCGCATCGCGGGGTGAGAGGAACGCATGGCTCTCAGGAACTCCTGTAGTAAAAATTTACACAGTTGTTTAAAATACAGACTTTTTCGGACCTTACTGAAAATCCACACATCTTCACTGAGGTCCAAAATAGACAACTATAATGGAGATGATACTTTGGAAGAATGGAATTCCATACCTTTACGAAGCTAAGTTCTCTCCTCACTTCACTTAATGTTATTTGCTGCTCAATAAGTTCATCATGGAATTCAGACAGTTTTTTTTCCTGAGTTGTAACATATGCTCTCAGTTCTTTGACACAGTTGTGTTCCTGGTTAAAACAAAAAAATATCTTATTAGAAGCTTGTTTAGCTAACTGATGACATTGTGTACTTCACAACACAACTAACCTTTAAATCATCTTTAGGGATCACTAGACCACACCCTAGCTCACACAAAACTGGTCTCTTAGGATTGTGCTCACAAAAATCTACATGTGAACTTAATACTTCAAGTTTCATCAATTCTGTACATCCGCAATGAGCGTTGTCACATGAGATGGTAAGTCTGTTCATGTGAAGAAAGAAAAAAACAAAATTAAAATAAGGTAAACTGGCAAGTAAATTCACATTTAAGAAATATTTCACTTAAATAAAATACCTGGCAAGAAGGTTTTTCAGAATTCTTGGAACTGGCTGTAGTTCACTTGATGTTATAGGCGTTCTGTCTACAGGGCATGTTGGCTGTCGTGACAGCCACTCATTGATACATGCTGAACAGAAAGCATGTTCACAAGAGGGAGCCTGAAAAACAAAACAAACAATTGACACTGAAACAAAGACTGGCGATTGCAAGCTTGTTGAAATAATTGCCAAAGTAAATCACCTGAACAGGATGCTCCAACACACCAGAGCAAATGGAGCAAATCAACTCCTCGTCGACAGTGCCTTGAAACCTTGCTAGGTCGAAACCCATCTAGAAGCAGAAAAAGCAAATAAAATCAACCATGAGATTACCATGAAAACAAACAAAAAGCAATATGACAAAACAGTCCCTATGTAGGTTAGGACCACAACAGGTCACACATACTGCACTTCTACAAATAAATGGGCGGCATAAGTCTGATACGAGATCACTGAAGCTATTTTAAAATAAATTCAACAGAATATTTTACACTTTGGGGCACAGAAAGTGCTCAAAAAGAAAGTAAACAAACCCCTTGGTTTGCAAGTGCAAGCGACGCGTGAAAACAAAAGTAATAAAATCGAAGCAGGACTAGGAAAGGTGGTGACCCTCGTCACACCAACGTCTCTCCGACATCATGCGCACCTTAGAAAATAAGAAATACCTCAGATTTCACAAAATCTAACTCCTTTCTTCTTGTAACAAGTAGTTCTTGACCGCAACACGCAACTGCGACGACAGGGACAGGATGCAGCTTGCAGCTGTGCTGTGCGCAAGGCGGTGTTGCCAAATCTCCGTCGAGTGGAGTGGAGTGTCGTCTGAAGTGGGTGCGGTGTGCCTTAGATCAGGATATTGAGGCTTTAACAACTGACGGAAAGCACGAGAAGCGTGCCGCAAGCTTCTAATGAGATGGCAGGGTTTTCAGATTTCAATTTAAAATGCGTTTACTTCATGTCAGCCATGGTGAGGAAACTCATGGGCACTCTAATCTGTCAGATACCAGGTTATGTCGCCCACGAGTAAATATTTACTATTTTCCTTTTCACTGAATTCAGGAATACTTTTGTTTCAGTTGAATAGCTTATCTATTTTTATGATTTGTATTTGTTTTAGTGATGAAGGTTCCTGAGAAAGTGCCAAAATGTTTTACCTCTCTCTGAAGTATAAATTACAGGACATGTTCTCTGCTTTCGTAGGACATTTTTTCTGTAGGCTTGGCAATTCCACTGCTTTCACCTTATCTGAGGTCTTTGGGTGCATCTCATCTCGTCATTGGTTTGAGCACGTCATTGTATGGGGCAGCACAGCTGATCTCTAGCCCTCTCGTGGTAAGACATTTCGGTGACGACATCCTGCATTAATAGTGTCATGGCATGAGAACTATTTTGCTTATTTCCTTTATTCAGGGAAGCTGGAGCGATCGCCGAGGAAGGGTTTCTGTTTTATGTCTATCTTTGGCTGCATGCTCTCTCTGCTACTTCTTGCTTGGCCAGACCAGCTCCATGTTTTTAATTCTTCTGATGCGCTTACTATTAGGTAAATGCAAATATTCCATTAATAAGGAGTACAGTGGACTGCACCTTGATCTAAATACTATCATGCGCTTGCTATTCTTTACAGGGTCTTTTAAGCACACTCAGAGTTTATGCAAGTCTATTATTGCTGATGAGGTTCCACCATATGAGCAAGCTGGAGCCTATGGTAAACTTGCAGCTATTTCTGGTGTGGGCTTCATAGTGGGGCCAGTTGTTGGAGGACACATTGCTGATCATGAGCATGGATTTTCCTTCATCACAATCATCATTCTAGTATGCTTCTGGATCAATATTGGTATGGGATGCTAGTTTGGCAATATGTATTCTTTTAATTTAAAAAGGCCCTTCTCAATTTAAATATCCTTTTAACAGCTGTTGCCCGGACTTTGCCAGCATCACATCAACCAAGGAACAGAGCAGCAAGAAGCAATGCTGGCATTCAAGAAGAATTTTTTCGTGTCATCACCCACCTCAAAAGTGTTAACTGGAGTAAACATCAAAGCCTATTAATACTTAAGTTAATACTTGTATTTACTCTGTCATTTTACTTCAGTAACTATTCTCTACTGCTACAAGAGAAATATGGAATGACACCAAAGTCTGTTGGATACATTATTTCATTCCAGTCTATTATAGGCTCGGCAACTAGTTTGCTTTCAGGACAAATCCAACATTTATACGAATGGCAGTATCCCCCACAACATGCCTCAGCAGTCCAGATAGTTCATTGCTTTACCGCCATGGCTGCTGGTCTGATAGGCATTGGCTATGCTGAGTCTATTGTAGGTCTTCTGCTTTGGTTGATTCCATTGGCATCAGGGGCAGCACTCATGCGTACCTTACTGACAGAACTTTTAGTTCAAAAGGCTTCTCCTCAAGAGAGAGGATCACTGCTCGGTGCAGCACACAGTTTTTCTGCAATGTCTAGATTGTGCACACCTCTCATTTCAGGAATTGCAACAGATTTGTATGGTTCTTCAGCTGTCTCTCTACTGAGTCAAATCATGGCAACTGTAGGTGCATTCTCAGCTCACTTTATTTTAAAAGGAGAGTATTTGCAGCACTATGTATCTTGAACTGTCAACCAATTTTGATAAAATGAATGTAAGAGGTACATGATTTGCATAATTGAGTATTATAATTTTAATTTACTATAGACTAGTGGGTCTGCAGTGGCCAGGATTGCTCACATAAAGTAACAACGTAATTGTAAGTTAGCAACCGCTGGTATAGATATCAAAGATGACAATTAAGGGTAAAAAATGACAATACTAGTGAGAAGTTATTGGACCAAAATGAGCTCAACCATTACTCTGTTGCTATAGCTAAGAGGATTTTGAAATATCTTCACATTTGTCCAAGTTAAGGATATTTTTCATTTCGAGCTTTTTTCTACAAAATTTTGAAAATAGTAAGTCATGAACGAATTGACAGGTTCAGTCCTACTGTAGTGGGGCAAGGCTTACTTTAATATTCTACATAAATCACCATTTGGCATGAATGTTGTTAAGTGATCATTATTTAACATTTAATTATTAACTCAAAATACTTTGATAACAGACCACAGCTTTTAACGAACTTGTTCTTGAGAATCATATGTACCTGAATGAAACTTCAGTATGTGACTTGACATATCATGGTTTATATTTTATAGTATTTTATACATACTAACAGGGTCCAAAATAAATAGTTTTAGAATTGTGCAAGTAGTTCTCTTATTTAATTGAAAACAGCTCAGTATCACAGAATGGACAAAGAAGAGAGAAAACTTAACACCATGAAAGAAACACAAACATATAAAAAGAATACAAATGAATATTGGGACACAAAGAACTTGTTAACTTAACTCACTGTCGCAAGCACAACATAATGGTACAGCAAAGATCTGCCATTTGAAGGTATTCACTGGCTCCTTGTTGTAATCTGTGGCTGCAGACCTGAAAGAAAACAAAGAATGTAAAGAAAAGTTTTGACAATGCTTCAATTGAAAGGACTTTAAAGTGTTTGTAACTCACAGCTAGCTTTTCACAAATGATAGCTTTTTGTTTGTCACCAATTGTTGGAGACAACACAATTTTAAGATGAAGTTGTTCCAGTAACTACAAAATAAGAAATAGAATTAGAAACACCAGAAAAAAAATGGAATTCCGCTCAAACTCTTTTAAATGGGAAGAGAATTTAATCTTTGTTTACCTGGCCTGCAGAATATCCTTCCATAATGAACTCATCCACATATTTGGTAAGCTTGAAGTAATCATACTCTTCACATACACTCATCAATCCATCAAGCCACCTGTTGGGAACTATTCCCATCACCTCCACCACATCTTCACCAGTGATTGGTGATGAACTGTCTTTGCCCTTCAGCCGGGCACATGACTGTAGACAAGTTATAGCTCTACGCAAATCTCCTCCAGCAGCATCAATCAATGAATGCAGAGCATCTTTCTCAATGTGGACATTTTCCTCTTCAGAAATAAATTGGAGTCTTTCAACCACCTTAGCTTCACCTAAATGGTTCAGAAAAATAAAACATAAAAAATTAGAACGAAATGTGGACAAACAAAGATATAATTTTGAAGAGTTGTAATTAAACATTACCTAAAGGCTTGAAGCGAAATTTTGTGCACCTTGAGGTAAGTGGTTCAATTATGCGACTGACATAATTACAAACCAAGCAAAACCGAGTTGTTCTAGTCTGCTTTTCCATTGTTCTTCGTAAGGCAGCTTGGGCAGCATGAGTCATGGAATCAGCTTCATCAAGAATGACTATCTTAAATGCTGGGCATGGTTTACCGCTGCAAAAATTCAGTGGCATTAAAAACTGGAATTTGCTCAACCAGTAAGGCAGTTAATCTAGCTCTAAACGAGTTGTGCTTCAGATTTATTTTGTTATCAGTCCACAGGCAGCCTTTCCATGAATGCAGCAGCTAGAAACTATTACAGTGCATGAAGTATCGGATATTCAAAATTAGTTTGTCACAACAGTTTGTCAAAGAAAAACCATGTGAGGCACCAATTCCAAAAGAAATAGACGCTTCAGGCCGTCTGTTCGCCTTAGAAAAAGGGATTGTTGGATATCCTAGAGCAACACCCTGTAAATCGGCAACACTGTCTGCTCTTTAGAGACACTGACCCATTAAAAGACGGTCAATGTAGGAAATTTAAGAGCAGCAGTAACTAGAATGCAGCACTCATGGCGACACATCCAGCGTCAAACCTTTTACTTTATATCATCATGAGCACAACTTGAAGTTTCATGTCAAGAACATTTAATAAATTCAGACAGCCTCAGAAAGCTATATCAGGGTAGCTGCAACCTTATATCATTGAACTGGAGGGTGATTGATGCATTACCAAAGAAAGGGAAAAAAGGGATCAGGTAATGTAGCCCCGATAATAGAGTTTTGACAGAATCTCAAGCCAAACAGCTGGTAAGCAGGGCCTTTCAGAATTTCTGGCCGTTAATCCTTGCTTTAGGAACTTATAAAAGAAAGGAGTATCTTAGCCAGGGCAAGAGGCAAATATCTTCCACCAGCTTCAGTAAGCAGCTATCATCATAGGCTAGAGAAACCAAGGAAATTCAAATAAAACTACACTTACTCAGGACGCACTCCGCTAGCCGATAACTGTGCAAACGATTTCACCTTATCTCGAATGACCTGAATGCCTCGCTCATCAGATGCGTTCAGCTCAAGGATCCTGCAAGCAACATGTACAGATCATAAGCAAAGACGAAAAGCACAAGAACGTCTCGTCTTAATAAAAGGCTGAATAGTGGAATCAGTGTGTTACCTGTCACGATAAATGTCCCCAAACAACTGCCTTGCTGCAGCAAGAATGGTGCTGGTCTTACCAGTACCAGGGGGTCCGTAGAGGAGCAAGTTAGGCAAATCTGCCCCCGATAGGCACTGCCGGAGGACGGCAACCACATCACCTTGCTCGACAACATCGTCAACGGTCTTGGGCCGGCTGTGGAACAATCAACAGGTTAAGGAACGGGTTAAATCTACATGCGCCATACTTAACGAACTCGACACATCCATTTCAAAGCAGAGTACAGAATAAAATCTCGCTTCAAAATTAATGTGACATGCTAACTTAAAGAAAATAACAGTCGATAAAGGAAAGAGAAGGGAGCGAATGAACCTTTGTTCAAGCACTCACTATTTTTCGACCCAAGGCGTGGGCCTGTTGGTCCTCTTTTGCCCCTTGGCGGATGACTTCTCCCCCGAAGGACCGGCGCCACTGCTCGACCCCAATTTCCCAGTCTTGAGGAAACTCTGCATTTTGTCAGTCCGCACAAAAGGTTATGGACTGAGGAAACGCGACGAGACTTCGCGCCGCCAAAGCAAAGCGAAGCGCGCCACAAACAAGCGCTGCGAATAGTGCCGTCCTTTCCTGCGCGGAGCGGAGACGAACTGCGAATAGTGAGCCGGCAGCGTGTTGGAGGCGCGCTTTACGATGTGCCGAGTTTCCACTTGTGCTGACTGACAAAATGAAAAGCTTCTTCGAGACTGGAAAGCTAGCTCGCCACTCCTTCAAATGTAGAAAAAATTCCGATATTTTTAAAAAATATGAATGGATTTGGGTGGCTGAGCGTCGATTTTGGGTGCACTGATCAGCGAGCAACGCGGTCTAAGTGACACGGTGACAGTGACGAGACGGAGCCACGGAGCAAGGACTGCACTCGGCACCGCAATCACTCGTGGGCCGTGGGGCTTCCTTTTGATGAAAGGAAGAGGGACGGCTGGTAAAAAATGTTCTGGGAAAAGAAGGCGCGCGCGCGCGCTTCGGGAAACAATGTAAACATTCCCCACGCCGCGGAGCGCGCTGCTGCGCCACTGTGTGCCACGCCACTGTGTGCCACGCCACTGCCACGCACCCGACGCAACACCTCGCCGTTGCGTTGAGCCGGCCGAGCGAGCGAAGAAAGGGTCCAGTATGCAAAAGCGCGAACGCGCATCGCGGCCACTCGGACGCATCCGGAGCCGGGTCCCGGAGGATCCCGGAGGATCCCGGAGGCAGGCCAGGGAAGACCAGACCGGCCGGACCGGACTTGGGGCGCACGCTAACAGTGCACAGTGGGCCAGACGACCGGTGGAGGCGGCCGAAACTCCGGACGCGTTTTGAGCTCTAGAGTCGCTAAGCAGCACTCGAAACGAACGTGTGACCCCACCAATGGATTGCTCTCCGAACGAGGAATCCATTGGTGGGGTCACACGTTCGGTTCGAGTCCCGTTTAGCGACTCTGGAGCTCAAAACGCGTCTGGCGTGTTGGCCGCCTCCACCGGTCTTTTGGTCCACTGTGAAGTGCGCGGGGCCGCCTGCGCCTCTCTGGCCCGGACGTGCTGGTCATGTTCTTGCGGTATTCAGGAGGCCCACAACTTTGCCACGAGTAGACTTTAACAATGGCCAGCCCCGAAACGGCGCAGCGCCGCGCAGCGCGCAGCCGTAAGGTGGATATGCGAAGCGCGGAGCCGCATGAATGGCGAGTCGATAATTTTTCGATTGATCGCTGGGCGTGCGTCGGCCTTCCATCGAAACGACCATAACGGCGCGGCCGGAAGCCGGAAGCAGAGGCCCGTTGCAGTTTTAGCGGGCCGAGGATGAGACGGAGGGACGGAGGACGCATCACTCTCTGGCAGGGCGGGCAGGGCGGAGAGCAGCCCTTTACGACGAGGACAAGTGGAGGAAACGGAGGAAAACACACACGGGAAGGGTTATACGTTGCCGCGCTGCCGCGCTGCTTCCCGGCCGACCGACTCTTGACACCGGCAGGGCGGCTTTTGTGTTGAGTGAGCTTGGGAAAACTGGCAGGCCAGGGCACGCCGGGGCACGCCAAGGCACACCCACCGCGCCCTGGCCGCCCTGCCCCGCTCACCTCGCGTCCAGGACTCGGTCGGGACTCTGCCGCGTAGTCGAGCAGCCTTCGCCGACCTGCGCGCTTCTGCTTGCCCGGGCCGGGCCGGCTCGCGAGTGCCTGCGTTCGTCCCGGACAAGAAGGGCGCCGAGGAGGACAGTGACAGTGCAGTGCGACCGAGAGGCGTCCGCGTTGTGAAGTGGTGCAGGCCAAGCTCGCCCCGTGGTGGACCGGGGCCACCATGGCGGACGGAGGGACACGCCGCGAGGGCCGGCCTCGCCCGGAAGGCCGCGAAGGCCCCGAAGGACTACAAGGACGATGTGGCGCAGGCGGCGCAGGCTGTGCAGCGTAAGGCGGACCTGACCGGCCTGGCCGTGGTCCGCGGTCCGCGGCCATGGCGGACACGGTGTGGCGGAGCTTTCGCAGCAAGTGCTTCAAGGTGCTGCACACGCTGTCCAGGACCAACCTCAACGTGAGTCAGTGTAATGACAGGGTTGCCGCTCGCCCGGCTGGCCTGGCTTGGCCTGGCTTGGCGCTCTCGCGAGGCGCAAAGCACGCAGCGAAGGCCTTTCACTCAAACGCGTCCATATACTGCTTTTGGAAACCTGCCCGCTTTTGTTCCGCCGCCCTCGTTGTGGCTTGTGAACGTGAATGTGAATCCAAGGCTAGGTCGGCTGGGCCTTCGCGGTATAGGGGATGTCGCCGCCGAGGGTTGCGGGCCGATGGAGTGCCACGAGCGTGTTACCCCAACAATGGATTCTTCGTTCGGAGAGCAATTGTTGGGGTCACACGTTCGGTTCGAGTCCCATTTAGTGACTCTGGAGCTGAAAACGCGTCCGGGATTGTGACCGCCTCCTCGGGCCTTCACTGTGCAGCGCAAGGTGCGGCGGTTCGGGGAGGTGAAGTCTCCGGATGGCCGACGTGGACGTCGTTAGTGCAGAATGCTCGGCCGGGCGTCCGTCGGCCCGGGGCTGCGCGGGCTGCCCGGCCCGGCCCGGCCCGGTCCGCGTCGTGGGAATCGGAGGGGCGTCAGAAAACTAGGAGCCGCGCTGCGCTGCTGCGCCGCGACGCCAAGCCCGGAGAAGCCCCGCCATTGCCTGGACCCGATGCGGGTGTGAGTGTGGGCACAGTGTGGGCACACGGCTACACGCGGAGCGGTGCACTGTCAAAGCGAACCGTTCCCTTTCATGCCTTTCCCCGGCCTCGTTGATTAGTTCCGAAAACAGTGTGGCGGTGCGAGGAGGAGCGCAGAGCTGCGACCGATGCCCGTGCGGCGTGCAGCAGCAGCCCCGGGTCTAAAATGCACGGAGCGAGTTACGTCACTGGAATCGAGAATCGAGACAAGGGACCGAGGAATTTGAGATTGTAAGCGCGCTTAAGTGTACGGTGTCGGCGAGGAGGTGCAAGCCCGGATGCTCCCTGGCGGTCTGGCATGGCGGTCCGACGGCCTGGCGGTGCCCATACTCCGTTTACATGCCAGACTAGTTCCGAGGGCCGCCCTATCCGCCCTATCCGCCCTGCGGGCAAGCGGCTGGCCGGGCGGTCCGTCTGTCTCCCTCGCACCCACACGGCGCGCCCCGCGAGTGCGAGAGAGAGGGGCGCCTCTCGGCGCGCCGCGCGCGGACAAGCGTGAAATGCGCCGGATTGCCTAATGAGCCGTGGTGGCCCAACAATTATCGATTTGAAAAGGTGAAAAGCGCGTTCATCAAAACGCAGCAGCTCGCCCACACCGAGCGCCCCATCCGCTCCGTCTTACGCAACCGATTTGAGTTTCCACGCATTTGACAAACGGCCGAGAGGAGGAATTCTTTACGGAATAACTAACTACTCTGGGCGCGTTTACGGCGGCGGCGCGGCGCAGCCACGCCATGGGCACCGAGCGGGCATCGTGGGACTCTCCGCCACCCGCACGCTCGAGGAGACTGGACGCGGTCCCAAAAACGGGACGCCCGCCTACATCTAGACCATCTGCGTTTGCATTTTGGCCAACTTCGCGGCGCTACTGCTCCCAAACCTTGTTGGGCAGGTCTGATGAACTTGCCGGCGCCACACTACTAACGCACATCCGAATTCAAACCCCTGGCCACGTGGGTACGCACGCGGCCCTTTTTCACTCGATTCGCCGTCTTGGTCTTGTTTCGACGGCGTGACGGTCGGGCACTTCCCTCTCCGCTGACCCAATCTGCGAGATGATAATCCACGTAATCAGTGACGGATTAGCACGACAAGATCTGCACGGCGAGCCCCGGTCGGCTCGGCCTGCCCGCCTCGGCCTGCCCGCCGAGTGTTTGATCAATTAAAAGACACGGGAATCACTTTCTAATGTAATTATGGTAATTGAAGTGCAGCCCGGCCGGCCAGCGAGCGACCTGCTGTGCAGCCTGGGCTTTCGTCGCTCCGCCTCTCTCGCACTGGTGGGCGTCGCGTCAGGGGTGCGAGGGAGACAGAGCGACGGAGCGTCCCGCCGGCCGGCCAGCTCGTCCCGGGTTCGAGGCTCGGCCGGGCTCGGCCGGCCCGTAGCGCGTACTAGCGTGTTCGGAATGAGTTTGGACGCGATGATGCCTTCCGATGCGGCCGATTACACAGTACACACTGAGCAGGGCAGAGCAGGGCGCCCCGCATTTCGTAACACTTTGTAACGCGCCACTACCTCGTAATTGTTTCCCATCTCCCTTTCTTCCCTTTTCGAGGAGGACCAACAGGCTGCCCCTCTGCCTTCTCCGCCCCCGCCCCGTCGTCGGCACGCCCGTTCCTGTTCAGCGTGCTCGTGCTCGTCCTGCTGGATTTCGAACGCGCGGCGCGGGGTTCGATACGGTTGCCAACTCTGCGGCAAAAGGCGTCGGATCGGCGGGGGGCGCGCGGCGCGGCCGGCGGCAGCGAGCGCCCGGAGGTTGGCAACCCTTCCGACATCATTGCCGGCGGCGCGGCCCAGCCGCCCGGCGCCTGGCGAAAGCGGCGCCTGTAGCGCGGCGAGGGGAAAAGGGGGGGGGGGCTTCGGGATGTGTGGAAAGGGCGCGCGAAGGATGACACGCATGCGGGCCCTTTGGGAGTTGGGCCCTTTTGAGGGCGGGGAAAGCCCTGGCCAAGCCGTGCCGCAGCCATGCCATGGCCCCCTTGTTAACGAGCTGGGGATAAATCACCGCGATCGCGCCTCGGCCGCGGAGAAATGCGGACGATTTGGGCCGAGTGCATGTGTGAGTGTGTGTGTGAGTTTATAAGGTGTCAGTCGTCGCTTTGGATTGGACGACGACTGTGCGCGCAGGCCGCCTTGACGTTCCGGAAACATCGCATTTGTGACCTGTCCGCCCGGCGCGCGCGCGTGTGTGAGTGAGTGTGTGTGTGTGTGTGTGTGTGTGTGTGCTAAGGACGGGAAGGGGGCGAAAAGGGCAGTGTGTCAGCAGAACGGCTTGCATTGATTTACTACGGTCGCGAATCAGCCGAGTGGGTCCGTCGGGGTCCGTGGCTCAGCGCAGCAGCGCAGCTCGGCGGTGGCGTGCAGTGCAGTGCCATGGCAGTGCGGTG